GGCTGCTAACATGCCAAAATCCCATACCATAAAGTGAGCGGCCATAAGCAGGTCAGGCACAACTCCAATGATAATAATGCAGCCGAAAGAGGTCAACATAAAATGAAGTAACTAAACCCGGGACTCGACAACGACAACAAAATATAAACCCAGTGCTGGACAAGACAATCACGAACCCGGTAGACAACTGGCAACTGGCAACTGGCTACAAAGTGGCACGTTTTAGGTATACAGCCGATTCATGAACTTTCACCTTCGACGGTGCTTTGGGTGCAGTAGTTGAGGCTAAGACGTAGCCAGCCCATCGCTACTTTGTCTAAAAGCCCTTATGCTTCCGGCTTTCATTATAATTTTGAGCAAGCTCAACGGCGCACATTGTCTCAGCGCGTGCTTGGGCCCTTTTATGAGTAATTTGCTGTTGTTGTTGTTTTATATGTACATGCAATTAAATTAAATATTTAACTTAATTACATGAACGAACTAACACGTCGTCGTCGTCGTCGTGCTGCACGCATCTGTTGAGTCCCGGGAACGTTGAGTCATCGAGTCATCGAGTCGTCGACTTGTCGACTTGACGTCTCCCTGGGCCTGGGCCTGTCCAATATGACAACGCTCAATAATGCAGCATGATTGTAAGCAGTAATGAAAGTCAATTGTAACAAAGACAGGACCCAGTCCCAGCCTAGATACTGTCACTTGCTCCATTGCACTATATGTGTGTATGTATGTATATATAGTTGTAGTTAGGTCAGGTTGAAAGTACCAAGATTTTTACCCCATCGTCTTGACTATAACCGTAATGACAATTTTGCTTACATTTTGCGCCACTGCTTGCTGCTGTTGGTTAATTGAATTTCATGTAGTTTAATTGAGACGAACGTGATTCTAACTAAAAGCGCTTTATGTTTAACTTAGCAGCAGCCAGGCCAGGCTGGTAGGCAAGCGTGCAGGCAGGGAAAACTTCCTTAGTCGGCAGCAGGACTTCAATAGATGGCTAGCATTTTGTGCCGCCTCAACTACTACTTAGATGACATGATGAGCTCGGATGCTTTCAAGTTGTTGAAATTCATATTAATTGCTGCCAAGTCGAAAGTAATTTCCATTAAAATGTGCTACAACGACAATTTAAATATTTAATATTTTTATGGCAGCTGTCGACAATTTCTTGCCGAGTTTATTCACCAATGAATTATGCAAGCCAATGAAGAAGTTTGAGCGAAATGGCAACTGTGTGACACGCTGCGTATGAGTAATGGTGGCGAATTTATTGCACTGGCTGGTCATTGCAATGTTTTCAAGGACATCTCCAATATTAAAAGCCTTTCAAGCGCATCGCAGCGCGAAATTCGAACGCAGATGCCGCATCGCATTTCAGAGTAGTAATCGGAGTAAAATGAGAAGCAGCTGCAGCACCAGCAAACGGAATCTCCAACAAGGACAGCTGTTGGAATTAGCGTACAGCCTGCTTTTTCATGCCAAGCCATGATGCGAAGCAACTGTCAGAGCACCGCCAGGCGCACTGTCATCTCCCAAAGAATCTCAAAAAAAATAGTCAAGCTGCATAATAAATTGAATTTCTCCTTGCTGGACATTTGGCGCATTTAAGGCAACGACATAGACACACACTTCAAAACAATTTCAAACACTCGCATCGTCCGTCATCGACTAGCAAATATCCTACAATTTGTCTACAAGTGCATAAAATAGACTTTGTCTGCTATTATATGAGTTATTTGAAACATTCAATTAAAGTAAAATAGGTAAATTTATATATAGAAACAATTAAAGATAAAGAGTTTAAGGATCGCAAAGACCCGTTTTCTACTTCTGTCTGTAAATGACATTTAGACATCTTTCGTTGACATATCCTTTTCACGTGTACAAGGGTATATAGAAATACTATATTCTCTTGCCATCTCTTTTTTGCTATGTCTCTGTCTTTCGCGTTTTCTCTATGGGAAAACAGTCGACGCCATTCTGGCCGCACACGTACGTTGTCTAACATGAAGTTGGCGACAAAATTTCACCAGACGCAAATGAAATTACAAACAAGCCCAGAAGCAACAGCAGTAGTAGCAGTAATAGCAGCAGCAGATGCCATGGGAGCAACTAACTTGGACAGCAGCTCAAAAATCCAAATATCATATTTACAACATGCAACTACAACTGCCACTACTACGACTACTTGTACAAAGCGAAGTTAACTTTTAGCATGTCGGAATGCAATGATAAAAGGCAAAATGAAAACTGACATCTGAATTATTTTATTTTGTCATCGCCAACATTTATACGGAAAGAAATGAGAGAACAAGTTTATTGTGTTAGTCTGGTCGCAATCAAATCAAAATCAAATTAACTTCAAATTTGGCAAAAAACTGAGCTTCTACTTATTAACGCAATTGCTGATAGTAAACACGTTACTTTATTTAACATTAGGCACACTATTTTCAAGGGTGTCAATAACTATTTACACGACCACTATTCAAATCTATCTATCTTTTTCTATTATTGGGCGTAAGTAATCTGGCTCGCTTTAATTTAACTTCCCCAACGTATACACAGCATGTACATAAGCTATATACAAAATATTCACCTCTCAACGATTTGGCATGTGCACCGCAACTTAATGTGCCCCAGGTTAGGACGAGTGTAACTTAATTTGAAACATAATGCTTAAACTTTTGATAACTCATTAAGCGCCATTATGTAACATAGTTTTATAACACAAGACACGCCCAAAGCGCAAATGATATGCATAATTAGTTTCACCGAAAACCCTAAACGATTGCGGTAATTGTCAAGATAATCCAAAAAAAAAAAAAAAACAAACAAAAAAACAACAAGGCTACATTTGACAATTTGTTCTTGCTCTCCATATCACTCTCTCGCTTGGGCATTCCTTGCCTCGCTTTCGCAGTAAACACAAAAAGAGAGCAAACAATGTTTTAATTTGTCAAATTTAAATTTAAATTGCCAACACACCAACGAACAACTGCACAAAACCAAACCCACACCACAAACCGTACACCCACCCCTCCCCCTAGCGGAGATGCCAAGTTGTCGCGCAAATTGTACAAAAATTTGTTGGCCAACCAAGGAAGCTTTATGGAGGGTATCCTCTTTATTATGACCATAATAAAAACAGACAGCGGCCACGCTCAATAAATATTTAATTATAAAACGAATGGAAAAAAAAAGTTTAATTACTATTTGTCATTTGCTTAATAAGTGACACTGTGCTAGCCAAAAATTCTGCATGCCAACGCCAAAATGGCAAACTGCTGAAAGGCAACAGCGTATATATTAAGCTTTTATAACTACATTTACTGAGCCATAATATGCTTTAATGCTGCAAATTGAAATTTTAACGCAACAACCTACTCATTTTTGGCACTGTCTGTCTGCCTGTCTGCCTGCCTGCCAGTCTGCCAGCTCCGCGAACGTGGCCTATACAAAGTTATGCATGTATTTGCGGCCATTCTCTGTGGTCAGAATGTGGCTGGGCCACGTTACGCCTGTCGCCTGTTGGGCGCCACATAAGTTTGCGGTCGCTCCTTTTATTTCATTTTGCATAAGTTCTAAAGTACACATTATATATAATTAAAATCACAAAACGGTCAATTTCGCCTCAGCAGCGACAACCCGTCGAATACCCTGCCCTGAGTAATAGCTCCGGCACTCGGGCATCATGCATGCTCCAGTATTTGTATTAAAATTGTTTGTTTGTACACACTGTGAGCCCCAAGTTGGGACTTCGTTGCACACCACCTTGAAACCGGGCATCACCAGTGAAAATTGTAATGTCTACAACATATAATATTAAAATACTACATGATATGAATGTTTAATTGTTTATATTATAACTATTATAGAATTAATACTTTTTCTTATATTTAATGGATTTATCAGAATGTTTTCGTTTCATAACTGAAAATATTTCAATTATTACATCAACTCTAAAAGAATAAAAAAAAAACCCCTTTCAAGATTTATGAATACTTATGTCTTAGCGAAAATAAACCGTCGCCATCTTTTTGCGTTGGTAAATTTCAATTCTGCTTTCTTACACAGCTCATAATTTTTAATAATTTATATTTTGCAATTGTGAATAGCAGGACTGTGTATGCTGTATATGCCCACATTAGCCATAATTAAGCTTAATGGCCCTGGGATTTGGCAATTTTGGCACAATAAATGGACGTATTTGGTTTAGGGCACGTTGTCGAGCCATAAAGCATTGGCTTTGGCTTACAAGCTCCAATAAAAATCACACAGTGACTGATGCAAATTTATGCCTAGCCTAGCCTAGCCTGGCCTAAGAGCGCGCTTACAATGTTTTTGCCAGATTTGCATGCGGCAACAGCCATTTGGTCTATAAGGACACGCCCCACCTAACAAAAAAAAAAAACAAATTAAAATGAAAATAATGTGGCAAATGGAGTGGCGGGTATGCGGATGCTAAAAAACATGCACAATTCATTTTCAAAATGAATTTGTTCCGCTGAAACGTCCATAAATGCATTTAAATTTATAGGAATGCGCGACAGCAGTATCGACGTCACTAGAAGAAACGAAGCAACGACACAGTAGAAAAATAAACGAAAAACAAAAAAACAACAAAAAAAGCACTCACCCATTGAATGACAATAAATTATCAATTTTATTTTGACAGCGCGAAAAATCCCGTTACGAACGAAGCAAAGTACGAGCGCAAAATGTCACACAAAATTGAGCGAAATATATTCGGGCGGGGCATTTGTGACAGGATGTTTCAGTTCAATGGTTTGTTCCATCGACCGATTCTCAATTGCCTGCACTTATGTATACATGCATATCTATATCTGCATATAGCTATATCTATTGAAAATGATTGGGCAAAAAGCGAACTCAGCACTTGATTTGTTGGGCGTAACCATATTAATTTATATGCTTAAGCGCCAATGCCTAAAACTAAAACTACAAATAAGACTAAAACATGCAACACTTGACTTTTATTGCAGACATTCCATCTTCATCAGTCTATACACGATACGCCCCCGATGACGCTGCCTTCTATTGCCCGGAGGAGGGCATGTTCCCCGATGACTATGACTGTCGCATCTACTATCGCTGCGAGCAGCACACGGAGTACTACATCAAGCCATATATGTTTGCCTGCAAACCGGGGACAGTCTTTTCGCGTGTCCTGCAATTGTGTATGCCACCGATGTTGGCTGGACGCGAGGAGTGCATTAACGAAGTCGACAGCAGCGATACCGAGACGGACAGCCAATTGGCGTATGATGGGCTCGTCAATAATACGAATGGACATAATGCTTTGCTTAACAGCGTTGTCACACCCGCGGCCCTTGAGCTGCACACCTATGCGACGGCAAATCGGTTGCCCACAAATTATGGATTGACAGGTCTGAATGGTGTTTCAGTCATATCCTTCTCGAGCTCATCATCTTTGCGCTCGGCAGATGGTGGTGTGGCGTGCGAGGATGATGGATTTATGAGTGATCCTGCTGACTGCACCGTGTTCTATCGCTGCATCTCGAATGGTCATGGCTATAATAAAATCGGTTTTCGCTGCTCGGAGGGCACCGCCTGGGATGAGTCACTTCAGTTGTGCAACTATATGGTTGAAGTACGTCTTAGTGGAGGCTGTCGCAGTCAGGCCGATCCGCTGAGTGATGAACAAACAGCGACACAGTCATCACAAATGAGCCATCAGAATACCACATCATCATCGGCATCGTCCAGCAGTCAGCAGAGTTCGTCGACAAGCTCCTCTTCCTCGTCGAGTAGTTCAAGCTCTTCCACCAGCTCATCAAACCAACACGAGTCCAGCAGTTCCAGCTCAAATCAGGAGTCCTCCACAGCGAGCAACAGTCAACAATCTATGTCAGAGAGCTCAACGAGTAGCAATCAGCAATCGAGTTCGAGTTCCTCAAACCAAAGCTCTGGCAACAGTCAGTCATCAAACAACAATCAGAATCAAAACTCCAACAACCAAGGCGCTAGCAGCAATCAGAATTCAGGAAGTAATCAATCTTCCGGTGCCTCCAATAACCAATCAAATCAGAGTAGCAGTAAGCCAACTTCAGGCGAGTGTGAAGACGAGAACACCTATATTCCCGATCGAATGGACTGCGCCAAGTTTTACAGATGTCGTCTTGATAGCAATGGAAATTTAGAGAAGGTTCCATTTACTTGTGGTCCTGGCACCGTTTGGGGTCAAGAGGAGAAGGTTTGCGTTCTACCCACCGATGATCAAAAGAAACAATGCAATATGCAATCTGGCTCTTCTAATATCGGCAATAATCAAAGCGGCAACAGCACATCCAGTGGCAGCAATGAAAGTTCATCAGCAAGTGGCAATCAATCAAGTAGCTCTAGCTCCGGTTCGAGCAATAATAATAATAACAGCAATCAATCTGGCAATCAGCAAGAATCATCCACATCAAGTAGCAATCAATCTTCCAACAGCCAACAAAGCTCGTCAAGTAACAATCAAGGCTCATCTTCATCATCCAGCTCGAATAATCAGTCGTCCACATCGTCAAGCTCTTCAAGTTCGCAGACAACAACATCAAAGCCTCCAAATCCTGACGGAGAATGTAAACACTCGGAAACATATTTGCCCGACAAAAAGGACTGTGCCCGTTTCTATCGCTGTGTGGATAATGGCAATGGTGGCTATAACAAGATTGCTTTCGATTGTGCTCCAGGTACAGTTTGGGATCCCGACTCAAAGGGCTGCAACCATCCAACGGATGTTCAGAAGAAGCAGTGCAAGGCTATGGCCAGTGGCCAAGGATCATCATCTAATCAAGGATCATCGTCCAACCAAGGATCGTCATCAAATCAGAGTTCGTCTTCTAATCAAGGCTCATCATCAAACCAAGGTTCGCTCACTCTAATCAAGGATCATCGTCGAACCAAGGATCATCTTCAAGCCAAGGATCCTCTTCTAATCAAGGATCATCCTCTAATCAAGGATCATCCTCTAATCAAGGATCATCCTCCAATCAAGGATCATCCTCTAATCAGGGATCTTCATCCAACCAAGGATCGTCATCTAATCAGGGATCTTCATCCAACCAAGGATCGTCATCTAATCAGGGATCTTCATCCAACCAAGAATCGTCCTCAAACCAAGGATCATCTTCTAGCCAAGGGTCATCGTCTAACCACGGATCCTCTTCCAGTCAAGGATCATCTTCTAACCAAGGGTCATCTTCTAATCAAGGATCTTCCTCCAATCAAGGATCGTCTTCTAACCAAGGATCATCTTCTAATCAAGGATCTTCCTCCAATCAAGGGTCATCTTCCAACCAAGGATCGTCCTCTAATCAAGGATCTTCTTCCAACCAGGGATCATCCTCGAATCAAGGATCCTCTAATGCTTCTAGTACTACACAGAAACCGTTCAAGCCAGCAACGAAATGTGAGAGCGAAGACACCTTCCTAGATGATAAGGAAAACTGTTCAAAGTTCTATCGTTGCGTTAATAATGGCAAAGGTGGTTTTATGAAAGTATCATTCACATGTCCACCAAACACAATTTGGCATCCTGAAGCCAACAGCTGCGATCATCCATCACAAGTTGACATGCAAAGTTTGAAATGTAAGCGGTTCAGTCCAGGACAACAGTCAAGTAGCAGCAGTAGCAATACCAGCAATAACCAACAATCATCTTCGAGCAGCTCTTCAAGCTCCGCATCTGGCAGCAGCTCGAGCTCATCAACATCAAGCTCAAGTAACTCTGGTTCGTCATCGGCATCAAAACCGTCTGGTAATTGTGCTGTAAATGGCCAATTCCTCGCCGATGTGAATGACTGTGCCAAGTTCCATCGCTGTGTAGACAATGACAGAGGTGGCTTCAACACGGTAGCCTTCTCTTGCCCACCTAGAACTGTATGGGATGCTCAGATTGAAGCCTGTAATCATGCATGGGCCGTGAAAGACAAAAATTGTGCCAACAGTGCAACCACTCAATGGCCAGTAGCATCGGAAACGACGACAAGACCCACCGGGCAACCTGGGAAACCTCCATTGCCAACAACACCGAAACCGACTTCGCAGAAGCCGACTACAGTAGCACCAGAAACGACAAGTCAAGGCAAACCAGGAAGACCTCCATTGCCAACAACACCGAAACCGACTTCGCAGAAGCCGACTACAGTAGCACCAGAAACGACAAGTCAAGGCAAGCCAGGAAGACCACCATTGCCAACAACACAGAAACCGACTTGGGAGAAGCCGACTACAGTAGTACCAGAAACGACAAGTCAAGGCAAACCAGGAAGACCTCCATTGCCAACAACACCGAAACCGACTTGGGAGAAGCCGACTACAGTAGCACCAGAAACGACAAGTCAAGGCAAACCAGGAAGACCTCCATTGCCAACAACACCGAAACCGACTTGGGAGAAGCCGACTACAGTAGCACCAGAAACGACAAGTCAAGGCAAGCCAGGAAGACCACCATTGCCAACAACACAGAAACCGACTTGGGAGAAGCCGACTACAGTAGTACCAGAAACGACAAGTCAAGGCAAACCAGGAAGACCTCCATTGCCAACAACACAGAAACCGACTTGGGAGAAGCCGACTACAGTAGCACCAGAAACGACAAGTCAAGGCAAGCCAGAAAGACCACCATTGCCAACAACACAGAAACCGACTTGGGAGAAGCCGACTACAGTAGTACCAGAAACGACAACAAGTGAAAGCGGGCAGCCTGGAAAACCTCCATTGCCAACGACACAGAAACCGACCTCACAAAAGCCAACTGAACCTAGTGGTAAGGTAAAGTGCACGTCTGAGGGTTTCATTGGAGATCTGGACAATTGTGCCAAATTCTATCGTTGCATTGGCAATGGTAAGGGCGGTTACGATCAGGTACCCTTCCATTGTGCTGCCGGAACCGTTTGGGACCAGGATCTACAAACCTGTAATCACGATTTAAATATGTGCAATCCCATTGTAGAAGAAGGCAATGGTAATCCTACCACAGAGTCTGATAAGGGTCCATGTGACAGCACTACAGCTAAGCCCATAACGACAACCACTATGGAGACAACGATAACACCAAGCACAATGGAAACCACAACAACAAATCGTCCAACAGAGCCGACCACGGACTCAACAACAGAACAGACCAGCACAACCAATCAACCCACAACTATTCAACCCACAACCAATCAGCCCACAACCAATCAGCCTACAACAACCATGTTGACAACAACGGACAAACCGACCACAACAGAATCAACAGGTGAAGCAAATCCATCAACTACAACCATGATCCCTCCAACTACAACACAGATACCCAATTTGCCACCCGGCACCGAATGTAAGGGCGAAGGTTTTATGCCTGATCCCAACAATTGTCGCAAGTTCTATCGCTGTCAAAAGACCGGCGATTCTTACTCAAAACACGAATTCATGTGCCCTAAGAATACCGGTTGGAATGTAGCCATACAGACTTGCGATCACGCCAGTAATGTTTCAAGTTGCTCGGGTCAGACCGATCCTCCAATGGAGGCCACAACCAATCCAGGCATAATCACAACCGAAACTCATCCAGCAAAGCCAACCACTACAGAGACTCCAACGATATCCACAACTGTAACAGTTACAAAACCAACAGATCCTCCAACGAAACCTACAACTGAATATCCTACCACAACCGAAAATTGGATGAAACCGACCGATTCCACAATAAAACCAACTGATTATCCGGGAAAACCCACAGACTATCCCACCACACCCGAAACAAAACCCACAGACTATCCAACAACAAAACCCACCACAACCACAGAAATGTATACAGAAAGTACAACGCGTTTCACCACATCAATGCCCGGCTATCCACCAACAACTGAGGACAACCAAGGGACGACAACGGAGGACAGCAACCAAGGCACGACAAAAGAACCGGAGACTAACTTTAGGTGTCCTTCTGAAGGTTTCCACGCGGATCCGCAGGACTGCAGCATCTACTATCGCTGCACCAAGCATAATGATAACTATCAGGCATACAAATTCCGTTGCTCCAATGGCACCGTGTGGGATTCATCGCTGGAGACGTGTAATCATGCTGATCAGGTGTCTGGCAACTGCTCCTCTGGCAGCATTACCACAACAGGAAAACCATGGACTGAGCAGCCCACAAGCACCAAGGAGCCAATAGTGACAACAGCCAAGCCAGACACAACAACAAAGACTCCACCCAGTCCCACAGATCGCCCAGTCGAATCAACAACCAAACCGATTGAGACAACTACGGAAAAGCAACCGACGAAACCATATCCTGAACCATCAGCAAACACAAGTGCTCCCTGCCCGACAATAACTGAGGAGCAAAGCTTGTTTGTTTGCCCGTCGGGCTTCCGTCGTCATTCCAAAAATTGCGGCATGTTCTACCAATGCAATGAGAATTCCAACTCCAATCTGAATATTGTGCTCTTCCAATGCCCCAATGGCACCGTTTATCTAGAGGGATCGTGTCGCTGCGGTGAACCCGAACCCAACGACAGGTGCAGCAACAAGGGATCATCTCGCACCCAATTGTTTGATGAAGTCATTGATCATTCACTGAATATGGCAAGTACTTTTTTTTAGCAAACACACAGAATTAAATACAATAAATTAAAATCGTTTTCCAGGTGAAAATAAAATCGGAATTGCCGCTTTGTCCGGAGGAAGGACACTTCGCCTTGAACCAGGATGAATGCAGCCAGGTGTTTGTCAAGTGCGTATACTCTCATGAAACGGGACGGATTGAGGGACAAATCAACCGTTGCCCACAAGGATTTGTCTACTGGAATGTGAGTCGACGCTGCGAACAGGCCAGAAAATTGACGAGCTGCATCCCAGCCACATACAATGTGGGCGAGAGTGTGCCGCTGGAGTGGGTGAACATTGGACACAGACGTCGCAGTCTGCGCATTTAAAACATGCATACATACATACATACACACGTAGCATTAATATAGAAATTGTAAAGGCGACGCAATTGTTTGCTGCGCAAGCTCGCCGATATTTTTTTGAGAGCGGCTTGCGCCGCAAATGACGTGCCAAAAGACTAGCTTAGATTGTAGTGCAATTACAAATGTAAGTCAAACATGGGTTAATAATAACAATTTCTGGTGTCGGTACTGTTCGTGATTGTTGGCGAAACTACAATTCCAAAAGAGGAGACATTTGTTCATTTCACAGATAACTTGTAAACATTTACAAAGGGCACAGCCTTATTTTTGTTTGTTTGTAGCAATTTCACGCAGTAATTGTATTTATGTTTATAATTTAAACGTTTTAAACGCCATATTTAGCTTATGTTCTATGCTTAAAGTACTATATAATAAATTAAAACATATACAAAATGTTTACATGAGCTCAAGCTTAAGGTGACTATGGTGTTCCATTCATTTCTCTTTCTATTTCTCTTTTGTTTTTTTCGTTTTTAACTATAAGCACGTTATTTCTTCTTTTTGGCAACTGGTGGCGCCGCCGGATTGTCGCCCTTGTAAAACTCTTTTAGCAGCGTCATGGCCTCCTCTGCGCGCACACCGCCCGTTATGTTGATGCGTTGACCCACAACGGCGGCCACATCAATGACAGACTTGCCACCGAATCGATCATTCTCACAGCCATAGATAATCTCTTTGACGGCTAGCGTGTGCAGCGCTGCCGAGCACATGATGCAGGGCTCCACGGTGACCACAACACTGATTTCGCTGAACACTTGGCGTGCTGGCAAGCGCTTCTCGCGGCAATAGGCCAAGGTGGCATCGATGCAGATGAACTCCGCATGACGTGTTGCATTCCGATGGACATTCACTTCGTTGCCGCCACGTGCGATTACCTTGTCGTCGTGTATAAATACACAGCCGACGGGCACCTCGCCGGCGTCACGTGCTCGCCGCGCTTCCACTAAAGCTTCCTCCATAAATGCGGCCATTTGGCATGGAAAGATCGCGGTCAATTCTCGTGCAAACAAAAACACAGCAGTCAACGACGCCACGACACAAGCATGCAAAAAATAACAAGCAAAAATCAGCTGTTCATCATCCGAATGTTTGGCAGCTCGTTAAGCTATCAATCCTATGGCAGCACTGGCTAAAAATACTGCTTTTATTTCTACCAAGGTGGCAACTCTCTAAGCGAAAAAATGTAAACAAATTTCGAGGGGATTTAATTTTACATACATAATGTATGTATGTCTTGTTATGAAAAATGTTACATTGCAAGAAGTCTTATCTTACAAACCTATGTCTACTGTCATTTATTTTGTGTGAATTTACCTTACAAATATAAATAAATGCAGTTGCTTTATGTCTCATTACGCATAAACTTAATCAAATCGTGCTGCGCCAGAAACGCCTCAGCCTTCTTTGGCCAATTGGTGTTGTTTAACGCCCGTGGCGATGGATGAGGCAAGCGATGGACAGCTACCGATTTACAATAATTTGAACGTTGGAGCACTGTGTGCACATAATCGCCCACTGCCACCACAATCTGCGGACGGAGCAGCTGCAGCTGCTGCTCCAATGCCCCCAGGCACATATCACGTATCTGCTGCTTGTGGACACCTTTCAGCTCGCTGGGCGTAATATTGCGTCCGGCTTCATCGAAGAATGCCAGTGGGCAGAAGTTGTGGACAAAGCACTGTTGCGCAAAAGTGTCCAGACTGCCGTCAGCCAAACGTTCGATCAATCCCCACAATCGCACACCGCTCGGCTCCTCAATCTGGCAATTTAAGCCGTCAACCGCACGCTTTGGATGCAAAACCGGTGGCTGACGCACTTCTCCAGAGAGTTGCATCATTTCACGCACGGTGCGAATGTTGCCAAAGGGTACCTACATACATATACAAATAGAAATAAAGATAATTAAAACAAATGAACAAAACTTACTCCCGTCTGGCCCATGCCATTGGGTCCCGGGTTCATGCCAATGAATATGACGCGCTTCGGTTTGGTCAGGAAGTGTCGCAAATAAGCGCAATGCAAGGCCGCCGCATAATCCACGGGATTGTAGGTGCAACTGAGGTTGGGGGGCAGTTCAAACGTCGAAAGTTGTTCATTTAATGCGCACTCAATTTCGTAGAACTGCATCCAAAATGGTTGAGCAAACAACGCCGATGTTGTTATCCCAGGCAGCGTTGTTGTCTTTGACAAGCTTTGACCCGATGCTGGCGCCGCTTGCTGCTCCAGTTTTCGTTTCAACATAGCAAAAACTTTTAAAAGTTTAAATACATTAAGCTCGCAGTAAATGTGAATAGCTAAAGCCAAAAACAGCTGGCAATGTACAGTGTTGCCTATTTGGCTTCAAAAGTGCGCATCACTGAGTGACAAATGAGCACCACTATTGCATGGGTTAGGACCGATCAGCTGTCTTTGGCTCACTCTGCCGCAGTTATCTGGTCCTCCATGGTCACTTATTCGCGGTGCCACTTTAGCTGCAGGAGTAGTGCGCTCAATGGGACCGGGACACCGGTCCTGAGTCCAGTTGTCCCTGGCGATTTTCTCCTTGATGGCGGCGATGGATAGTTCCGCCTGTTGCTGCAGCCGATTTGTGTTTTTTTTGTTTTGTTTTTATTTATTATTTTTCTTTTGCTTTATATTTATTTATTTTACATTATTTTACTTTATATATAATTACTTAATAATTTATTCACAATTAATTTATTTGAATTTCTTTTTAAATCAATCTTTTCGCAGCGCACGCGCATGCTGTCCTCCTCTTTGTTCTTTTTTCTCTCTTTGCTTCCTTATTTTTCTGAAGGTGGTCCCCATCGATACCCCTCGCCTATCGATCTATCTGCCGACCATTACAAATGTAATCAAACCACATCGCTGTAAATTCAAATGAGCGCAAAATGCAAATTGCAATCAAGCTAATTTTATTGTTATATGTATATATTTATATTAAAATTGAATGTGCACAAATGTAATACTATCAGTGGCTACGTGTGAATTCATTCAGCTTGCTCTCATTCTCCTTTGCGAACTGCGCTTTAAATTGCTTAACGCTCTTTTCAATGCTGCTGTTGACAACAGCGTGAAAAATTTTCAGAAATTGATCCACCTGAAAGACAATTTTTGACATTCACAAGTAAGTTGAGCATTTTGCTATTTGAGTCTTGGAGTCGGAACACTTACAGTCATATCCTTTTCAGCACAACCCAATTTGACAAACTCGCATTGGGGTGCGTGCTTGAGATGCTCCTTCCAAGGATCGTCCTCAGACTCCCAGCCGTCCAGCGTTTTGCCGCACACAAAACATGTGGCCGTGTCATTTTCGCGTTTCGTTCCCGTCCAATAGAAACCGGCCTCGGCCATCTGCATAAGAATCACTATACATTACCAAACTGATTAGGAGGAAATTTAACAACGCGCTTGCCTTGCCAATGCTGCATGCGGACTTTGCTGAGAATGGCCAGTCCTTGAAACTTTCTATGCGATGCTTTTCCAACAAATGCAGACCACGAAACTCATCGAGCTTGGCTAAACTCGGCATAGTTGTTGCATCCATTATTTTGATTGGGATTTTATACAAAAATAAACTATTTTATATTTTATACACACACAGAAGAAAACAAAATGAAATCTGAAGCGTAGCGCCTCTTTACTGCGCCTTGGCAACCCTAGCAGTTTCTATTTAACATAACAATGGCATTAATATTAACATTTGCTAAAATGTTATTTACTGATCTTATAATTTATTTGTGATAAATAATCCCTACTCGTCTCAGCTAATCAAACAAAACATATACAAATACATGTAAAATCCCAATCTTAAAGCAATGGATATGCTATCGAAATACACACTCAAAAGATATTCGGCAGCTATTTAAATTTAACAGACATAATTTGTGACACATTCAAAATGTGATTAAAAAAGGACAAATTTTCACAAAACAGAACATAACAATTTTCTTGTAAATCCATCTGTTTATTGACATTTTCAACTGCAGTTTCGCTTGGCAAGAAAAAATTTGTGAATAGAATTTGTTGTATGCGAAGCTTTTTTAAATTTTTAACATATTTTTTGGTATTTTCCAGCACTGAGCTGGGGAGTGTCCTCAACACTGGCACACTGGGACAGCTGTTCACTCAGTTTTGTCATTTATTGTTGTATTTTTGGGCTACACATAAACATTAAATAAATAAAAATACAAAAATAGTTGAAGAGAACATTATCCGTTTATTGTTTGTTATTGAGTTTTACTTGGTTAATACACGTATTATGTAAAAACTGGCTTCTCATTCACACATTCCACACACATGCAAAATTGATTAGGACAAAAAAAAAAACAAAAAAAAAAGAAAGTGCTTGGGCCACAGAGCGAAAAGCTGAAAGGCCTTGGAAAAGAAACGCGAGCTAATTGGAAAACTCAAAAAGGGAAGCAATCACTAAGAAAAGTTGGCAATGAACTTGTGCTGGCAATGAACTCCAGACTTGAAGGCGCTCAACAGCTTTCGGGGCACACGAGTCCCATGGCCAACGAATGCAAGCAGAGTAATCCCAAATGGGAGTTGACAAAACTTTACAACGAGCTCATCGAGGAGTGCAAACGCAGTCACGAGGAAGCCATCCTGCCACGTTTCCTGCGCCACGAGTTAGAGAAGTATGTACAATATAATAACCATAAATGTTCAAATATCTCGCACGTTTTCCGTGCTCCGATAAGCTGTCTGGCCAATTACCTTTTTAATCAATATTTTGAATTGTTATTATTATTTGATTGTTGTTGTCGCCACTGAGATTGAGGCCTTATCGGAGGTGAACCCACTTAAAACAAAATAAATGAACATTTGAAAACAACATTTTACCTAATAGCACTTCCTCCTTTTTTTCTGGCAAGGCACGCACGAGAGACCCGTCGCGACCTGGTTCGCAAGCAGCGTAATGGCTGTGCTCCACTTTTCATTGCCTGCAAACGTGGCGCAGTTGCGATTGCCGAGTATCTGATAACCATTTGCGAGGCGGACATCGAGCAGCGTGGTCACTTTGAGGTGCCCGAGGACAATAGCTTTCACTATGTGTCCCCGCTCTGGGCAGCTGTCGTCTCTGGCAAGCTGGCTATGGTCAAGTATTTGGTGCGCGTCGGCTGCGACATAAATGCCACATCCGATTCGGGTTCAACGCCGGTGCGCAGTGCCTGCTACATGACACACACTGACATTGGTAAGTGGAATTCCCACTGATAACTTACCGGGTCTTGTATAATTTCTTAATATGCGTTCTGCAGTCAAGTTTCTTGTGGAGAACGGTGCCGACATCAAGAAGCCCAACATCAATGGCGGCACCTGCCTAATCAACTCGGTGCAGTCCGTACAGCTTTGCCTGTATCTGGTGCGCAAGGGGGCGGATATCAATGCACGCGACATACAGGACAAAACGGCTCTGCACTATGCGATACAGGAGCATCGATTGGATACCACCAGAATGCTGATCGAACAGGGGGCCGATCCATTTGCCAAGAGTCGGTATGGTGACGATGCGCTGCGAACGGCGTGCCTGAAGGGCGCTCATCAGATATTCGATTATTTGAAAAAGGAACTCACATATACGGTGGATCGCATCGCCGATGCGCATGAGCTAATGGGCTCCACATTTCTGGACGAGCACAATGAGTCTCGTGTGTGCATTCTGCACTGGCGCATGGCACACCACATTCGTGCCGCCTACACGCCCTACGTTGAGAAGCAGCCAAAGTTTCCGCTGTGTAAGGCATTTGAATATGCCGAAGAATTTACGACGCTTGAGGAACTCGATAATATTGCCACAGATATGGATGCGATGCGTACGCAGAGTCTGTTAATCTGCGAACGAGTGCTGGGACACACCCATAAGGATATGTTGTTCCGTTTGACCTTTAGGGGTGCCTCATATGCCGACTCATTGCAGCTGCAGCGTTGCATCGATCTCTGGAGTCTTCTGCTCGAGATTCGCGTCAATAATTGGTCCATTTTGCATTTTGAGACATGCTTCGCTGCCCAGGCATTGGTGCGCCTCATGCTCGATCTGCATGTACGCAACTCTAGCCACATGCGAAGCGATGCACGCGCTCATTTTATGCATCAGGATAATCTACTGCCCAAGTTCTGGGATGTGCTTGGCGTATTTCAAACGCTTGCCGAGGGCGCTGTTGCGGTCAAGGAGCTGCTGCAGGTGCGTCCCGTCTTCCGGCGCCAGCAGGAGAACTATGACCGTGTATTGCGCTGCTTGGCACATCTCATCTATCTGTTGATCAATACCGTCCACACAGAGGATCAGCGCAAGGTGATTTATGAGACCGTCCACGAGACAGTGGTTGTTGGAAATTTGCGCAGCGCCAGCACAGCAGACACCCTACTACACTTGAGCGCCTCAAGGCTGAATGTGATCAAAAGCGGTTATTTCACCGAAGACAATTTTGCCGATGTAAGTTTTGAGCTGTTAGCTGTTGTCATTTTACCATAATTTATCAATATTCGACAGAAGACTGTGTTTCCCAATGCGGAGGTCATCAAACTGCTTATCGAATGTGGCATTGATGTCAATACGAAAAATGAAGCCAAATCAACCCCATTGCATGTCGCCTGTCAGCCTTACAATTTTGATAACGAGGTTAGCTGAGGATCACGTTCAAACTGATAAAGCAATAATTGAACACTTACATATTTGCCATGTTTTACAGATTGTACACTTGTTGTTGAAGTGTGGCGCGGACATCGATCAGCCAAATCGGGCAGAAAAGCGACCCTATGACTCTATTGCCTCCAATCCCACCAACACCATACCGCTGCTCAACTTCGTCTCGCTGCAGTGCCTGTGTGCGACGGTTCTGAGTAAGCATAAGATATATTATAAGGATCAGTTGCACAAGCAGCTCGAGCAATTTGTGCATGACCATGAGCCTTGAGTGGGTCACATTAATAATTTTGGAAACACATCTCTGTTGAAATTGTTAGTAGGCATATTTAATATTGGCCATATCGAAATTTAACCAGTGTATCTCCTGTTACTTTTAAAACTCTACTATTGTTAACTTATTCGGCTTAATGTAGTTAAAAACTCAATAACGAAACATACAAAACAGAAGAAAATGAAAATGCTGCACAATTATGTGTAGCAAAAGCAAAATGTGTAAGAGATCAACGTGATATTAAATCTGCATAGGAAATGAAATTGAATCATTAATATTTTAGTAAACTTACAAACATAACTAACAGAGAAAAGCAAACCACATGTTCTATGCAGCTGTTCAACTAGTTCATAACAATAAACTGTATACTGTACACATAATCTGCATTCAAATTTATGCCTGAATACTGTAAACACTTACATCATTATATAAACAAACAAAAAAACAAAATATATATATAGTATATATACATATATATATATACAAATACCTAATATTTATACACATTCGAATAGAATAACTAATTTATTACATGTTAACAAATTGAAATTAAACTCCAAATGCAATATTGTAAAATGTTAGTGGGCCAAATTGAAAAACTTATCTCGCTCTAGTTGGCTTTAAAAAAGGGAACTTGCTTTAAGAACATTGCCTTTTTGTTTTCCAAATAACTGCAAAAGTTAGTGCCGCCTAAGGCACTTGCTTCTCTATCTGTATTAAACTTGTGTGTCAGTATTGACTCGTTTTTGTATATATATAAGTGTATTAACGCAAACGTAAAATCGAATCTAATCAATAAATCAATAGTTTACAGTTTACTGACAAATACAGCGAAACATTCTTTTTTTGGGCGACAACCAAAATATTCCACGTCAGATCTTAAAATAGTTTTTATCGCTTCTGACTTAAGGGAAAGCTCTGCCTTTATTAACGTATTTCAATTACAATACTTATAAATAATACATAAATACATGCATACATACATACATATGTAAATTGTGACTCGTTGACTTATAATACAATTACAATATTTAAAACGACGATTCTATGAAATGAAAATGAGAAAAAAAAAACAAGCAGTCAAAATTTAAAATGCCTGAAAGATCAGGAGCACCAAGGGAGCCATCAGCCACGTTATAGCCAAAGATTGGCCAGCATTGCGCAGTACAGTCGTATAACTATCAACTATATGGATCTTCCAGCCCATATTGCCGTGCGTAAATGAATTATAGTAAACAGTGTCGGGCCACGTTATATTTGGCGTTATCTCTAGCAGTGCTGGCGGCTCATCGCTGCAGATATTTACGAGTGAACGATTGAACTTCTTAAATGTGACAAAGTTGTCATCCAAGCGACGATCGTAGTTCTCCGGATAGCTGGATAAGCAGAGTGGACCCGCAGCCGTGGGCTTTGGGCGACCGCGACGGGTGAACTCCACGCCGGCTAAAACTCGAATTTCGCTCTGCTTGGCATCCGACAGACGATCGAAGCCTCCTTGCGGATCATCCGTTATGACCAATGGATGATAGTGATCCGGCGAATGTGGATTGTTGCCGCCACGAACTTTAAATGTGTACGTCAGGCCACGTTTTAAATACAGTTCCGGTATCATATAGCCATTGATGTACCAGGCCAAGCCACTGGATACATGACCCGTCAGGCCCTGATAGCCACGCAGTCCGCCCGATGGGCCCAGATAAGCATTAAAGGTGCGCACGGTACTATATAGGGATACAAATATATGTTTCAATTATTTTCAGATAGAAAAAAAGGATAGTTTTCACATACGCATCCTTAATTCGTGTGCGTTCCCATAGCTGCACAGGAGTTTCCGCACGTTCTGTAAAACTAAAACAATCGTTAACCGGCTCCGTTGTGTTAAAGTCAATAACTATATCGCTCTTGGGATAATGTGTGTGAAAGGCGGGCTCATTGTTGGAGTCCAGTTGGCCAAAGGCCCAAACAACATAGTTGCTACGATCCAAAAAGATTTCCTTGTCGCCATCGTCAGCTGCAATTGAAAATTAAAATCCCAAAATGAGAATACTTTTTAGTAATGCGTCGAAGAGCACCTACATGATTTAAGTAGTCGCCTGAAGCTAATCGTATTGATGCCATCCTTGCGGGCGTACGTGTTAAGCTGAAAGCTGTCTAATCCGCCCACAACATCATCGCGACACACGCCCTTATTCTGGCCCAAAACTTGCACGCAGGGCGCCAGCGATGTGATATTATAGTCCACTGTGTAGCCCCTGATATCATCCATATAAGCGACGACTACATCGGCACCAATCATTTGACTGGATGTATCTGAGCCAGAGATGCCAAAGGACATATAATCCGATTTCGCTACCTTTCCGGATAGTTGAAACGTTATCTGCGGCCCAAAGACCTCCCACGACACTTGCAGATCCTTGTGCAGCTGCCTGCAGTTGGGCAGTGAGAATTCATAGGGCGTAATCTTCACCAGCGATGGCGGCACATTCAAACCATCCGGTATGAGCACATGACCGTAGTTCTCATTGTCGGCCACATCGTAGACGCTAATCCAATCGATGTCAAAGATCGTTTTATCGCCAGGCAACTCCAACTCAATGGTCTCCTTATTGTACGCTCGAATTGGATCAAGACTGAAAGTAAAAAAAAATATGTACTTCAAATGATTCCAACTGCAATTGAATAATAATGATTACTCACTATCCGCGCTCGTCCAGCATTTTGCTGCCCCGACTCGATGGCTGGGCGCCGACACCCGTCCAGAAGAACGTGCGCTTGCCACGCCCATCATATGTGAATTCCTTGATGCGTATGATTTTCGAGTCCAAGATCTCGATGGTGCTGCTACTCACGTTGTGATTGCGCTTGGAGAAGGTGCCGCCGATTTGAGCACGAGGCGGTTCAAAATCCTCGGGTATATACACATCACCAAAGTTATTCTGATTGTTCAGATCGTAGACGGCGAGCCACTGGATTTCGGTCATCTTCTTGCGATCGGGCAGCGTAAGCGTAAAGTCCTTGTTGTGATAGCGATCCAGAATGTTGGTCCTGCCAATGAGTAGTCGGATTTGATTAATTTAGAAGGTGATCAAGTTTGTCTGATTTCTACTCACTTGCCATACTCATCGGGCACTATGAAGCCCTGTGGACCCGGCCGATTGCTGGCGCCGGACCAAAAGAATGTATCCGCCCCGTTGCCATCGTAATTGAAGCCCACTATCAGAAAAGTATACTCATTTACGGCATAAACGTCGCCAGACACCTGATGATGATAGGAGTTAAGCTTGCCCAGATATTTGCCACGATACGGGCCCTCCTCGTCCTCGCCCTCAGCAACTGTAAATATCAATTAGTGGCTTTAATATAAATAATTAAGAAAGGAATGATTTCTACCTTTTGATTATGGTTTAGAGAAACACGAACCTGTTTCACAAAATCTTAATAAAATTATATTTCCAAAAAGTGATCAAAACTATCCACAACCATAATCCGATCAAATGTGTTCCGATTTTCAAAAACCAAGGCTTTCTATTCTACGCTATAGATCAATACTGATTTTCAATGTTATTAATATTATGTCAGTTTTATTAATAATACTCCCAAAAAATCAATACTTTCCACTGAAATCGGATTTTCTAAAACCAGGGCTGACTGATCATGATTAGGTCTCAGGATAAAAACTACACAGAAAGTTGGAGACGATTTTCATCTTAAGATTATACAAGTAAATCTCAAAAAAATTAACTACCATACTTTTCAAAACAATAATATCTTTTTAGCTTTGCCTAAACTTAAACTTCAGCTTAAGGTTTAATCTAATAGTAAAATTCCATGCAAAACAATTAAGAATTCTTTAGTCACGTTGGAGCTTAAAAGAAACGCAAAATTTGCAGACACAACGAATTTATTTTTGCCAAACCGGAGGCTGACTCATGCATTGCGCAGCGTTTCCTCTAATTTACTGCCACTGGGGCAGAATGGCAATCGTCAGTCAATCGTTGGTAACACTTTTTTTTCTTTTTTTGCCGACTGCTCGCCCAGTCCCATGGAACCGGCGAACAGCAGTAGCAGCAGCAGCAGCGGCAGCAGCAGTCGGCAGCACTCGGCTGCAGATAGTAGACAATTTTAGACGCATAGACCAGTTTCGCTAGTTTCTCACGAAAGTGAATTTGTTTTCGCTGCTGTTGTTATTGTTTCTGTTGCCAGCTTGTTTTTTTTTTTTGTACTAAACGTAACAAGCATTAAAGTTTCTCTTTCCTTTTGGCGTGCATTTTGTATGTATGTATTTACTTATGTACTTACTTGCAGCTGAGGGCAGGCCAAACAGGAAAAGCGCCACAAACGCCAACAAAAGTTGTTGCCGTTGCCGTTGTCTCAGTCGGCGACTTCGCTGTTGCAGCGCTGCAGCACACCCACTGGCGGCAGAGGCGGCATCGCATACGCAGCAATGACAAAGAACGCCTTGGCTTCTCAATGTCATTCCGTTTGCCTTTGCGTTGCACTCTCCCTCTCCCTCTTTCTCTCTCTCTCTCGCACTGAAGATATGCGCGGTCCGTTCCACGTAGATAATTTGCAAATCGTAGACAAGTTTCGTTGAGTTTCTTTTTTTTCGTTTTTTTTTTTAACGCACTCTATTTAATTCAATTAATTGAACACAAACACAATCATTTTGATCAATTATAGTCGTTGTTAGGATTATTCTTTAGCTTCCGTGACGAATTGTTGTGGCTTGAATTGTTGTTGCGTATTTTCTTAAGGTCGTTTCGTCATTCGCATGTGTATTGTTTTTGTTTGTGTCGTATTACTTGTGGTATAGTCCAAAACTGGTTTAAATCACGGCTGCGCAAATCAGAAACCCGCCAGCAGCAGCAAAACGAACCTTGCGTCTGCGCCTCTCAACAATAACTGAGTGAGCGAGCGAACGGCTGTTAAGTTTCTTAGGAGTTTCTTTTGCCTACGTCTGCGCACAGCTTTCTGTGGCTTACTCTCTCTCTCTCTTTCTCTCTTTCACGCTCAAAGTTATACGGCTGCGCGTGCGCTGCATTGCAATAAAAGCTGGTGTGAGTTGCGTGTAACGGTTTCTCGCTTGCGCTATATGAAAAATGCGAGGTGAGCAATAACAGTTTCTAGGCACCTACCTTCATTGATCAACTATTTCCCGGTCCTTATTAAAACAAACATGGTCAATTCGATTTTTATGCCTTCAAAAACTAATCTTCGTACGTTTGCTTTTATTTCATTTACCATTTCTTGTAGCAATTCAATAAATCTTGTTAAAAACTAACCAATTGCATTTCTTGCATCTGTTTTCAGCTGCAATTGCAAAAGTCGCATTACCGACTCGGATTTTAGTTCATTTTATGAATAGTTTTAATTGTAATTGTTTTTTTTTTTGTGTAACGTTCTCTGTATTCTTGCAAAAGTTGTAATGCGATTTTATTTACATAAAGGTATTATGTTTTGTAAAATATCCGTTGCACAACATAAATATAGGCGATTAAATTGTCGCAAACTAAATCATTGTCGTTTGTATGTATGTATGTGTATTGTATTTGTCTGAAGAAAAAATTACATTATATGTATTAAAAATAGAATTTTCACTTAAGTTTTAAACGAATTTCACACGATTTTATTACAAAACAAATCATCATTTTTCACGTTTTTTTTTTTGTTGCTGTGGTTTTATTTTATTTAATTTTGGGCTTAATGCTTATGTATGTATATATGTAACTGTTATTCTTCCTTCTTTCTATTACTGTATAACTAGTTCATTGAAATACATATTATTTAATACATAATTAATTTCATAAGAAGCACATTTTTATTTATCATTTATGCGTTTACATTCCACTGTTTAAACTCGCTTTCAATGCCTGTCAATTCATTATAATATATATAAATATAAATATATATATATATATATATATATATATATATATATATATATATATGTATATATATATATATATATTTATATTTGTATATAATTATTTATACATTTATATTCATCTTTTATTGTTTAACATTTTTTAGCGCACTTTTGTTAACACTAGACGCTAGGATAACCTAAGAAAGTCGACCGGCTGTGCATGAGGGAGGGGGTTGAGGGGGGATGGATAACAAACATATGACGGTAAAAGTGTGTAATGAAATAAAACCACCAAGTCAAGGCCGTTGCCGTTATGAGCGGGTGAAGGGTGGCTGATTGGGGGCGGGTGTAAGCTGTATGTTCAATGTAGGTCTTGGACGCATGCACGCAAAGTGTAACTAAAAATAGAAATACTTAGCTTATAACGTAGCGTATAAAAATAGGTTGGTTTTTAGTAAGACATTAAATTAAAGAAATTGAGAACACTAATTAGATGTTTAAACTTAGGTTATGATTTTGAAGTTTTCTCATCGATTTGGTTTATTTTGTAAGAATTTTGCATGTTTATGCTTTATTTTTTATTTGTTTTACATTTTGTTTTTTTTTTTAAATTTATTTATTTTATTTTTTACTCTTTATAGATTAAATTTTAATTTTAAAATGAGCATTTTGTATGTTTTTTCTTTTTTTGCGTGATTCTCATGAATGATAACAGAGCAGGAAGAGAAGGAGACATGGGCTGGAATTGCGTTTTTTTTATTATTTCTTGTTTTATTGAGATTTAGAATTATATATTAAAGGTATGCTAGCTATTTAAATTGTTTTTCGTTTTTAACAGCATGGAATGAACTTGATCGAAAACGAAAACAGAAATATACAACAGAAAAAAGCGCACAACTTTTGTTTCGAACTTTTTCATGATTTTCGATTTTGTTTTAAACTTAACAAGCGAACATAAAACGCACAAACCTGGTAGCTAAAAAAAATTACAATATGTATTTTGTGTGTGTGTGTGTTTTTTTAATGTAATTTGTTTTTTTTTATATTAGAAATACTTGGTACGCGTATCTGTGTATGCATATAAAAAAATATTGGGGCACTACGTTGGATAACTCGATTGTTTCTTTAATTACGCTACAATGAAAATTAAATTTCTGCTTTACTATTTTTGTTTTTCTTTTTAATGTTATCTACGTATAAAATTTTTTTTATTCAACTTGTATCACTAAGGAAAAATGTTACAAAGCTTTTGCTATGGCATTTATGTATGTATGTGTGTGTATAAGTGAGTGTAGGTGAGTAGTGTGTGTGTATGTGTGTGTGGAAGGTCCAGGATAATTGTTAGGCATAAGGCTGATGGGAAATTTGAGGGCGCTTTTGAAACAAATCAATCGAATTAACATTTAAATGAGGCGACTGTTGCCATTGTTGCCACGGTTGCTGCCAAGGCTGTGCCGAGGCCCTAAAAATTAGCGTGGGTGTATACAATGCTTGAATTAGTAATAGCAGTAGTAGCTTTAGCTAAAATTTATCCTGAAATATAAACAGATTATTAGTCGCGGCCACAGCGATGATATTTTCCTCGGGATGCCAAGCGGTGTGCAAGATTTTCTTATTGAAGTCCAGGCAATCGACGCTGATCTCATCCTTCTTCCGTTTGCCGCCAGTGCAAACTTTGCGTGGCTTCAGTACCGTCTTGGGCTTAATTATGTCCCTGGATGCCTCCAGCGTAACATCCTTTTTCGAATTTCGATCAAAGACCCGGAAAAAGTTGTTATAACTGCCGGTCATTATGGAGCTATCTTTGCCGTTCCAACAGCACTCGAACTTATCAAAAATGCAGTCGTTCTCGTACAGTGAGCACAGCTTTGCGCGAAGGTATTCATGAACCTGTTTGTATGGACAAAAACATAACACAATTATAATTTGATGATTTAGGGAGGGGGCGACAGGATATCGGACTTACCGGATAGGTCTCAATGGGCTTTGTCTCCATGTGCAGGTCCCACACCTTGATGCTTAAATAGTCTCTGGAGATCATGTAACGGCCTGAGTTGCTTAGCTTCACATCACTGATGGAGCTGATTATCTCACTGAAGAAGCTGCGATTCGTTGGATTTTCGGGCTCCTCGAATTGCTTGCTATGGCGATCACATAGCGCCGCCGATCGCATATCACATAATCGTATTGTGCCCTTGGAGCTGGAGTAGACAAATACATTGCATTCGGTCGGATGGAATTCCGCCGCGGTAATGACCTCCGTTAGCTCCTCCATGTTGGTTGGCTTGATGTCAACAATATTGTAACTCTGATTGACCACCTCCAGATGCCAGAGGTTAATGCGCAAATCGTCGGCCGATAGGAAAGTCTCTTGATCAGAATTAACGCTAATTGAATTGATGTGATAGGTGTGTGCATTGGCAAAGGTGCGACGTGGCGAGGCCTCAACCATAAGCGGTACTTGCTTCACAGAAGGAACTCGTAAGGCGGTTACATTTTGTGGATCTCGAATCAGACCGTTCTCCTCTTTTGTGTTATAGCCCTCAAATGACTTATCGCGCTCACTGACCTTCCACAATTTCACCGTTTTATCATTGGTGGATAGCAGAAAGTGTACGGGATTCTTTTGATGCAGCCATCGTATCTTATTGATTTTCTCCTCGATTTCCAGCGATTTAAGATAATCAAATTCGGGCTCGTGCGATTGGAATGTCGAATAGACATTGTATTCACCGCGTCGCGGGTTTGCGGTTTTCGAGGCGGGATCACGCTGTCATGTCAAATGAAGCAAACATCAAATGAGTAAACGTAATGTTCATAAATTGGTAATCAACTCTCACCTGAAAGATGACGACGCGACCGCCTTTATCGCCGGTGGCCAGCAGCTCGCCATCGTGATTGAACTCCACGCAGGATATGATATCCGCATCGGTGACATCATCGTCTAAGGCGCCCTTGATCTGTGAGAAGCACCAGGACGCCTCTCCATTACCTGTCCGCGTGCAAACAGAGAGAGAGAGAGAGAAGAATACACAAAATTATAAAACAAAATATTACAAAATACAAACGACTACTTATTCAATTGCAAATACCCATCACACAGCTCCAACTGAAAAGCCGAAATAAGTGCTTGTTACATTTGATTTGTACTCTCTCTGTGCCTCTGGCCCCAGACAACAGACACCAGACACAATCAATACTAGTAGTCAGTCGCTGCTGCTGCTGCCAGAGGACAACGATGACGTCTGCAGGACGATTCGTCCTGCTTCCTTGCTTGCCTGTCTCTCTGCCTGCCTGCCTGCTCAAATATTTACTAATGACGCCATTTCACTAGCTACGACTACTGTTGGCTTTGAGCTCTTTTTGGGCTTTAAATTGCTCTTTAAGCATTGGCCGCTGGCAGGCCCTATTTATTTTGCTTCTTTTTAGAGACCCTGTTTGCCAGCCACTTTTTGCGATTGCTGCTGCACATTGTGTAAGCGTCGTTGTGCAAAAAAAAAAATAGCAGAAAGAAAAAAAAGGGTTTTATTTCGAAAATGTGCTTGGCCCTTATATTCATGAAGCACATGCAACACACTCCTCCTCTGATGTTCTGTTTGCTGAGCTTCGTTTCAATTTCAATGCACTTGACAACGGGCCACAGAGCAATATTCACATATTGCATGCAGAGCGCAAATATTTTATAGATTACTAGGTATATTCAAGTCGAGCATTATTTCCAATTTTCATTCATTTGCCTGCCCACCAATCATTATGAATTTTGCTGTTTGGCTTTTTGGATCACATTCGCCGTGCTTGCTTATTGTTTGTCTGCGCTGCGTTCAAAGCGCCATTGGCGACGTCATGATTTGATTGATTGCGCTCCAATGATGATAATAGGATCAGTCAGTCAGTCAATCTGTCAGTCAGCCAGTCAGCTAGTCAGTCAGTCACTCAATTAGCCAATTTGACGGTTCACATTCATTCATCGCGTCCTATTTTTAGGAATGTATATGATCAACTTTTATGTGCGTAACGATTACGTTGCCAAAGACACTCACTCGGCCAGCCACACACCCACCCACATACACACTCAGCCACAAAGAGTTTTTCAGTCATTGAACTCATCGTTCACTAAAAAGGAAAGTGCTACAGAAACTTGCACAGTTACACAACGAGAAAGAAATATGCGCTTCTATTAAATTGTTTTACACATCTATATATATATTATATGTTTATTTATATATTATATAATATATAGCTGAGATAGCGAAAAGAATAGCAACAACAACTAAAATTGTACACAACGCCGCACACGACCAAAGTGGCGGCAGACTGTTTTCCGGGTCAAGGCAACAAACAGACCAAGTCACCAGTTGTAGACAACAATTCTGTTCTACGAGGGCGGCTCAATAGGTTCTCTCTCTCTCTCACACACTCACACACAACTAAACAAACACCTCATTAATTTGGCATTACACACACTTAATAAATATCAATTTTCCAATACTATATTTTAGTGTTTAAATATGTACACAAGCACTTAGATAGGACTCTTTGTGCTAACTATTACTTTCAAAACCACTCTCGACCGTTTGAGATTTAAGTGGTTGGCAGCAGCGTATCGCTCGCTGATTTTGATTTTGGGGATATCTAATGATATAATTACGCCTAAATGCGAACACAGTGCGGCCCAGATTTTCGGATTTTACTCACAATTCCCATGCCTCAGCGCATACACACATACACAAACAGACAAACACACACACACAGATAGACAATCTCATAAGCAGCAGCTAAATGATACTCAAATATTGGCACAATTATTTAACTCAACCACGCGATGTCGCGCGGCAACCAAAAAACAACGACCAACGGCAGGGTTGCCACCCGACCCACTTTTTCCAGGAACGAATGAACCGACCTAGAGAACAGCACCCCTGCCTCCTCCTGATTGACTGCTGCTGTTCTCTCTCGCTCGCCCTCTCTCTCCCTCCTTTGCTATACTCTCGATTCTCGATAGATAGCATGCATAACAAAGGAAAATAGGTGAGCAACATGTGTGGGGGGCAGCGGGGGCGAAAACCAATGGTTTGTACTGAATATACGCTTACCATGTGCAGATGTATGCGTGCGTCTGTGTTGGTGTTTGTGTGTGAAGAATCTTATAAACATGTAACTGGTTCAGTTGATGGGGGTGCATAAACCGCCCAGTCACTCGAACTTCTCAAGAAAACTGACTGCGCAATTAAGCACATTAAGTCAAAAAAAAGAAGAAAAATTTCTCGTATCAACTATTTTAAGACAGAGCTGTGATTGATGATAATTTTATTTTTGTATTTACAGTGTCCGGGTATCGTAACTGTAAATAGTTATAGCAATTCTGTCTTATCTATTTGTTGTATATTTGTAGTTATCTATTCAATCAATCTACATATCTAACTCAAATTTTGCTGAAACTTTTCCCAAAGATACTGCAGCCAATAAAAGTATTTGTGCATTTTCACAGTCAACTAGGAACAAGAAGAAGCCTAATTTACACAAAATGTGCGAAAAGCATGTCAAAAGTAGACATAGATGCGTAGATACAATAACATACACACACACATATATATATATATATACATATAAGAAATTCAAGAAGAGATTCAGATACTTCATCTATATTTCAGTGTAAGCAGCAATTTATCTAGCTACTTATCATGTCTGTTGTTTATTATTCGATTATCGGTTTTGGCATTTGAAATAATGCAAATCAATTGAATTACTTTGGGGCTAAGTAGAGAAAAAAGGGGTTGGGGATGGGTGCTTAAAGTATCATAGGTCGAATATCGGCAACCAGTGCGATAATTTAGGCAAGTCTAAATACGTAGCTTGGGGGGCAGTTTCTCAAGTGCAAAGATCAATCAGAGTGTTGTTTATCTACTAATAAACTAGAGCAGCAGCTAGTTTGTTTGTTTATTTCGCGATCAAATTGTTTATACGCTGTTGCACATATTTAATGCAAAATTCAAATTAAAATCGCAACAAAATCAAATAAATTCACACACATACAAATACAGACATACGTGTGTTCGAAAGTACCCCGACAGCAAGAAGAAGAATAACGACTTACCGGCCATGACAGTTGAACAGCTTTCGTTGAACGGCGCGCGCAAGTTTAACAGGAGGTAGCGCTCAAAACAGTAACAGCAACAACAACAGCACAACAATAACAGTCAAATAAGGCCAAGGAGTTGTGGTCGCTCTCACTCTCTCACACTCCAAGCGAAAACAAAAAATAATAAACACACTCTCTTTTCTAATGTTTCTCTCTCTGTGTGTGTTGAGAAACGTGATTTTATTGTTGTTGTTACTGCTGCTGCTGCTGTGGAGGAGTGTTGAGCGCGGTTTCTTTTGCCAAAGGAGCTACTACTATGATTGGCATGCAAAAGAAACGAGGAGACGAAGAAACCGAAACCAAAAGCAAAAGACAAAACCAAAGTGCTTAACTTTCGTAGCTTTTGTTTCTGCCCTTTTTCTTTTGTTCGTGTTGTTGTTGTTCTTTGTATGTTGTTTTTTTTTTTTTTTTTTTTTTTTTTTTCGTCGCTGCTCAACACACAACTTAAGCACGTATACGTATTACTGGTGACGACAACAGCGTCGACGACATGTGGGGAATAAACTGCAAAGTAGGGGAGGAGTTTTTCTTTTGTACAAACGCCGACAGCAACAACATAGCGTTAACAGCAACGACGACGAGGGCAACGGCGACAGCAGCAAAAGAAGCAGCGGCAGCAGATCTGCGTTTGTGTAAATGTGTGTGTGCGTGTGCAGCCGGTGGTTGTGTTAAAAAAAAAGTTATCTTGAAATTACTTTGCACTATATTCTGTATTCTATTCAACGCGAAGCACAAGTAATAAACGCGACACTGTAAAACGTTAATAATTCGCCAGAATATATTTGCTAAACAATGCGATTAATATTATTTATTCTGTGTGTCGCACAACAAACAAACAAACACACAACACAATGGCAGGCAGGCAGAGGCAGCAGAGCATTTTTACATCTGCACCTCACCTCACTCCTCGTTCATCTCTCCTTTCTTTTGTTTTATCGTGCTTTCTTTCTTGTGTGCTTCCTTACAAACGCAGCAACGGGTGGCAATCTAACCTTCAAATTTTTGTGTATTCCTTGTTTAGCACTAATTCCTACAGCACGAATATTTATTATTTTGACATTCAGCTCTGCAGTTTTGATTTGATTTGGATTTCTTATAAAACGCGCGCTATAGCAATCAATACTCGATTCAAGTGTGACTCGTATTTAATATATATACTTTTTTTTTTACTATTTTATAATTTTACATGTTTGTTTTGGCAAACGCGTCACGACTGAGATTATCGCACCAGAATTGTACTCGCTGCTGAACTCGCTTGACAAATATGGGCAACAAAAAAAAATCCCGAGATTCTAATGCTGCTGCTGCTGCTGGTGAGCTGTTCTTCTTCTTCCAGTTTTTGCCGCCTCTTTTGATGCAGTGCTTCGTCGCCGCCGTCGTCGTTGCGTTGCGTCGTCGTTTTCGCAAATGCGGCTGCGGCGGCCAACAATTTACGCACTTTTAAACTATGTACATCATATTGCAATGATACAAATTCAATGCGGCTATAACACTTTAACGCGCCGATAACAAATTCAACTTAATATATGACTAATTTGTTATGAAAATTTCAACATAAAATGGAAGTACAAAATGTATTGCAAATTTCGCACTTTACAATAGCAGTTTTACGCCACTAAATTGCCGCAAACGAACGGCGTTGCGCAAGTCTACAGTGTTGATCAACGTATATTGTAAGTGCTGTACAATGTGAGACAGCTACAGCTGTCTGGGTTGCCGTTGAACTCTGGCGCTATGGCGCGTAACATTTTTAAATAAAGCCATGTATGTATGTTGGAAAACAAAAACAAACTCACTTTGTGGCTTTTTGGCACCGTTTATATTGATGGCCGTGTTGAGCATATTGCCAATTTTTGTAATGCTCGACTGCCGCATGAATGTGCGTGGAGGTATGGGTGGCGGCTGCGGATCAGGCGGCTCCAACACTGGACTTTGTCGACCCCAACGACCCATGCTGTTGACGGTTTATTTATTTATTTTTTCCTGTTGTGTTACAGTTTGATGTCTGTAAATAAATTAAAATGATCGAATCTATTAACATGTATTTTGAAGCACAGTCACATTTAAGCGCACACACTCACACACAGTGGCAAGCACACGTATTGTATAATGAATATTTGCTTAAAACTTGGCCACTTTAGACTTTAACACATGAGAGCTTTTCGTGTTTTTCAATTTGTCAGGCAATTAACACCTGTACACCTTCCCGCGTCCATCTCTCCCTTTCTCTCTCTCTCTCTCTCTGGCCTGCGCTGGATTTCTCTTTCTGGCGACTTGCACTTATCACACAAATGTCTCCGTCTAGAGATACATTTTATTGTATTTATTTATTTTTTTTTTTGCGCGCATAAATTAATTGTGTAAATGTAGCTGTCGTTTGTTTACATTAGTCAGACATAACGATCACGTTTCGGTTGCAAAATGCTTGCAAAAACAACAACTTTAGCATCTGCCAAAAAATTTTGAAAATCACCTCGCGGCGTGTTTTATTAGTTAGGATCCGTACCAAGTCCGAACTCTTTGGATGAGAGGTGTGTCTATTCTGTTCGCCGTTTAGCGTTAATGTGCCACTATTTAATGAGTGACACTACGCTTAGCAAATGTAAAGAACTTTGTCAACTTATTTAAATTTACGACAACTATAATTTTGTGTACATATTAGAAATGCTAAGAAAACTAATAAAAATGTATTACTGCTATTCCTCTCAGATTTCTCAAATCACATTTAATCTTCTTAAAATAGTTTTGTTATTAAAAAAAAAAAAACAGCTAAAAATAATTTAGATATTTTAATTTTATGTTTCTTATGGAACATTGCCACAGCATTTTGAAATACTGAACTAAATAAAAAATTTTACAAAAACAATAAAATTTTATTTATACAGATTTAATGTTATAATTCATAAAGAATTTTAACTTGTTGGAATATTAAAAAAAAAAAGCATTTTAAATTTGAGTAATTTTTGCAATTCCCAATTTTTGAAAGATCACTGTATTTTATGGAAATATTTGTTAAATGGCAAAATTCGAACAAAAAAAAGTTGCAGACAAATACAAATTCATAATAAGCTGTTCACATTTCAATTAGCAATTACAAAAAGTGCGAATTCAATTTGCTAATCGTCCATTCAAATATTGAAAAGTAAAATATCCCATAATAAAAAAAACTTATGCATGGAAAATTTGATTGCAACCACAATAATTGTGTGTAAGCTTGTCAAAATCAATAAATTAACAAATAGAATACATTTATTAGGAATACATTCCGGAAATGTACATAGACGAAACTTTCATTGTTTTTATGCGAGTTGGTGATGCTTGATGACGTCAGAATACAACAGCACACACACACACTACATGTGGGTGTTGCGGGTGGCGCATGCAACAAGTTGATCTGAGGCATGCGCCTTAGAATCAAACAATAGAACAACGTGCAAAATAGAAAACAAAACAACAATAAAACAACATGAAATTGTAATCCAATTAATGGGCACCAGTCTCAATGTCTTTTTGTGGTGTGGGAAGGAAGGAGAGGTGGGGACGGGGAGGGTCGGGGAAACGTGAGTAAGCGCGTGGCAAAGGCATTAAATGAAAAAAAAATGGTGGGAAATTGTTTTCGTCTAACAGAAGTAAGTGCTCGAAAAGTCGACAGAATTAGAAAATCAAACAAGCCAAGTGTGGAATGTGTCATCAAAGTTGCAAATTAAACATTGTCTATGCTAAAGCCAACAAGTAAATGTGCTAAACAAAATTTTTGCGAAACTAAAAACACAAAATTAGATACACTTTGACAGATATATATATATATAAAAGCATAAGTAAATGGAAGCGGAAGGTAATTCAAAAAATACGCTAAAAGTAATATCTGACCGAAACTTAAAGTAAAATAATTTAGTTAACTGCTCCAATGAAATTAAGATTTATACTGGGCAAAAACAATGAATTGATTTGTAGGGTTTCCGAAACGATAATAGAAAAAGGAGGGGTATATTTATAGTTTTTATACACTTACGTCATATTAACAGGTTGCTAAATAAATGTGCAAGGGTATTAACTGTTTCGATAAGACGGAGATTTTGTGGAATTGTTTTAAATCTTTAAATGAGGTGCAAAAGTGTAAAGGACAGAGAAAACCAAAGGAAGGAAATACAAAACAAAAACATAAGAAGAAATAAAAACCAAATTAAATTATTTTTATTTATACATAGGCAGAAAGATATATAAGCGAATATAATGTATATATATATTTTGCTTAGCAATAATACAAACATTGAAGGTAGCCCCACAGTTTCGGTTTTGTTTATTTTTAAAAGAATGTGAAGGAAACGCTGAAAATACGTTAGCAAACACATATACACACATATTCACACACACACACACACACACACACACACACACACACATATAGATGTGAAAGTTGTGTGCGAGGGCGAAACTAAAAATAGGCAGGACAACAATTTAAAGCGTCCAGTCGCACGTGCAACACGAGACAAACCCCCTCCCAAGCAACCCCTTAACCCCCCATCCCAATCCGTCTATTGACTCTCGTGATGAGGGGCTTTGATTATGTGAGAGACATATTTTTGGATGCCCACCTTAAAAGATGTCGTCAGCCCACTCGCTATGAGAACGCTCCTAATCTGCTTTAAAAGCGTGCTACACGCAAGCATAAAATTGACTTATTTATATTTAGAAGATTTCATCAGGACTGTCAAACTGTGTCATCAAACTGACGTCTACCAATTTGTGCGTATACAAAAAAAAAACAAAAAGAAAAATATTTTATCTCAAATCAAGCCTACGTTCGAAAAGACTGTAGGAAAATTTAACTACGGCAGTCCTATTTGTAATTTTAATAATCTAAAAGTAAGGTAAGACTGTTGTAGGATAGGTTAAAATTATCTTGAGACAGTTGCCTTGTTAAAAAAAAGTTGACAACTCGGATTACAAAATGTACAAAATGTGAATCCAATTTGCTAATCGTCAATCCTAATATTGAAAAGTAAAATACCCATACAAAAAACTCAGCGTGGAAATTTGGCGTGAGCTTGTGAAAATCAATAAGTGAACAAATATTCATTGCTTTTGTACAAGTTTGGATGGCTCGATGACGTCAGAATGCACAGAATACAGATATATTACTTCTTATTTCAAGTGCTAAAGTTCTTAACTCAAGATTGATGAATATTAGAAAAGATTTATACCTAAATACATAAATAGGCAGGAACGCCGTATTTTTCTGAGTGTATTCCTATAATTTGTGACCTATCCCCTTACTTCGAATTCCTTTCGACTATTATTAATAAAGATAGACAGGAGGCGAGATCTATTGCCTGTGGCAATTTACCATAGCACTGATAGGAATATCTATATCTATGCATATGGATACATATATATATATATATATATATATATAGATAACTATCTGGGCATAAGCCAATGGGTCAATATTGTTCTTATCAAAATGTGTGTGCTGCGCTGTTGTCTAATTAATGCATGAGCGAGTCAATGTCGAAACTAATTAAACATTTGACAAAAATAAACGGCTTCTGGGATGTATATTTGGTTGTGCATATTATTGGCAGGTCTAAAGCTAAACAAATTACATGCCAGTTATCATTAGAGTCAGATAAGTCAGATCAAAGCGCGTGCTTCGCTTGTTTTTCCAAGCAATTTGAATGAATTTGGTTGTAATTGATGCAAACAGCTTAGGCAAATATTTTTTGGCATAAAGCGCGGCTAGTGACAAAATAGACGCCATTAATTGTTGTTGTGATACAATGAATTTACTTTTGAATTTATATGGCAAATACAACTGTTGGGTAGTTGCTGTTGTTGTTGTTGTTTTTGTTGCGTTAGTGAAACAATGTTGTTAACCTCAAAAGCCACCAAGAACGTCAACAACTAAAACTTGGATCGCACGTACAAAAGCGACGTATATTTGTATGTCCATATGTATATATATATATATATATATATATATATATATATATATAGATATGTATATTTCTAGAAATGGGGAGAGCGAGGGGTAAGCAACTTGCCGTTCGGGCTCTCTAAAACGATATGGCGTTACCTTTGTTATAATGTGGCTATATGATATCATTATGTGCACAGTATGTACATTTGGGAAATAAATGCATAGAACTTATTACAGATCCGCATCTCGATTATTTGATTGACGTAACTTGGCCAAGTTTTTGTTTATTATATTTTTTTTTTTTGAGGGTTAATACATATTTAAACAGCTGTATTGCCATAAAAAACCCACGCACACATTTGCCAAATGCTGAAGCAGAACTTTAAACTCGACAGAAAACAAATAACAACAAGTGAAGCACAAAGATAATTTGAATTTTTGAATATATTTTCTTTTATATACAATTTTGTATTATTATTTTATTTGAAATCCAAAAAAAAATGGTCACTGATATTTTTAAATATCGGAATACCTGAATAAACTCCGAAACGATATGTTGCAATGTAGTAATGTAGTAATTGACTTCACATCCTCTTTGGTTTTATCATTTGTTAGTTTATGTTTCTTTTAGTCTCAAGTTTCTATTCCAGTTTGTTTTGCTATAGAGCACAGTGTTGTAAGTGTTGTAACGGTTAACGGCTTGTTTCCTGCACTGTTAGCAGCACTGTTTTATTGCTTATGAGCAACTTGCACTTTCGAAATGAACTTGACGGGGAGAGTCAAACGCGTGTCGCACATTTGCCGTGCGCTTGATAAAGGCACTGAATCTGATTTAAATTTGATTCAACTTCAACGCATCGCAACGAAACGCAAATCAAAAACCGCAAAGGCGAAACAGTCAACGCGGCGTCGTTAAAATTAGCACTGAACTCGCATGCGTCGCCCAGCGATTGTGCGGCCTATGTTTTCTACATAGCATGCACAGTGGGTCACAGCTGTAGCAAATTATAACATTTCCAAACACCTTACAAAATATGTATATTTTTGGTTTATTTTTGTAGTTTAGTTAATCGTATCTTCCTAGTGCTACAACTTAAAGCTATAATTTATGTTACGATAAAAATAATTTTCCTTATATTTAAAAATAGACCGTATGATCGCCTGGATTCCTCCTCTACATAAAGTATTTCGGCAACATACATTTTAATGTTGGCAAGCTAATTTTGTGTACCGTGAAATTATAAAAAATTATGCAATCCAAAAAGTAGCTCGAGTTTGTACACGCAATTTAACAAATAATTTCTGATTGGGAAACAGCATTTAAATTTTCCAATAACCATATTAGCTTGGCGTTTCTTTTAGTTGTGGGCCACTATAAGCCTACGTGTGCTCTGTTTCTCTCTTGTTCTCTGCAGCGGCGCTCGGCACCTGCTGTTGAGTGTATGTGTGTGTGTGTGTGTGTGAATAGGGGGGTAAAGAAAGCGAAGAGCAGTCTCTCTCTCGTTATTTGTGCTCTTTCTTGTCGAAGATTTGATTGTAAAATGTAAACAAAACTATGTGTGAGTGAGTAACTGATGTTATTGTTATTGCTCTTTTTGTTGTTGTTGTTCTTGTGGTTGCTGTCGTTGTCGCCTCCGTATTCTTCTGATAAACGCTAATTTGCATATTGATGCTGTTGCGCGCTGCTGTGCCATGTTATTCCTGTGGCATCCATTAAATGATAAAGCTGCTTAAATAAGACAGTAATGAGGAAATCATGCCTTACTATATTTTTACCACTTCTCGCGATAACATTTGGTTAACGTATTTATATCCTTATTCAAGATATTATATCTCAGACGCAAATGATTGCTGTGCGTGCCCCAATCCTCGATGCCATGATGAAACATCACCTCCAACACCAACAGCTGATGGTACACCTCAATCCATTCCATGCTAATGGTGGCGGCGCATGTTTCCAGCAGCCAGCGGAATGAGCAGGGGAAAAGCGAGCGCAACTTTTGCTTGCCTGCATAGTTGATTCCCATGCCTTGCGTGCCATGCAAAAGCCAACAATCGAAATTCGATATTTTCAACAAAAGGTCATCAGCATGTGGCGCATTCTCATCTTCCTGCTCATCGTCATCTTCCTGCTCATCGTCATCTTCCTGCTCATCCTCATCATCCTGCTCCTCTACAGCGGGCTCAGCAATGCGGTCTGTCTCGGTTGCTGGCTTTGATTGAGCCGTAGCTCCTGTTTCCCCCGGCAATCTCATTTGCCGACGCGGCAAGTTTAGCGGCACACGCAACGGATCCATGTTACGCTCATCGAATGCCTGTATGGCGGCCAAATTGTTTAGCGGCACTTCCTCATTATTCAGTTTCAGCAAATAGGTGGGCGTGTCGCGCATTTCCCAGAACGGATTGTTCGTCTCGAGTACCGTACGACGCTCGGCTTTTTCCATAATCTTATTTTGATACTGTCTGCCATAATGGGCAACAGGCTGTCGAAATTTGAAATCGGGTCGCTTCTCCCTCCTCTGCAGTTCCTCAATCCAGGTGTGCGTCTGTATATCGCAATTAGCACGAATTTCCGCGGAACGCACTGGTAGCCGATCGAGCATCTGATAGATTCCTATTTGCTGGTAGTTCTGCTGGCAAGCCAACTCCTCCACTCGAAGTAACTTGCCGCGCACAGCCAGCTGGTCAGCCAGTTCTGTGGTCTGACCTTTAAATGGGGCCATCTGACGCTCTTTGTGATCGACTCGCATCCAGTCCGGTATCTGGACACTCATCTCACCCGGTTGCGCCTGAATCGCATGCAGAAGTATACGCTGAAAGTAACTATGCGCCGGAGTTAAGCTGGGCTGAAATTCAATGTGATCCTTGGTGACGCTTTCCATGCTGGACTCGCCGTATTTCTTTTTCAACAACGTCTCAAAAACAAGGCAAACATTCTCGCGCATGCGCTGCATGGCCGGCGTCATCAGCATCTCGTTGTAGTTGTACTCCTGCTCCTTCTGCTTTTGCTCCTTATTCAGATATTCATCAATGCGTCGTCCATTTGGTGTGGTTACTCCAAATTGCCGAGCAAAGCTTTCGTTGTACTGCGATACCAATACTTTTCGCATCTCGACATACTGCATCCATTCCGTGTAGACAAAGAGCGGTTGCACCGGCTGAATATTGTCATGATCTGTAATTTCTGAGAGGTGTTTATTAATGAGCAACGCAGATTCGGATATGGCGCGTTCCTTGACATCATCCAGACCAAACATCAGCTTTAGAACGTATATAATGTAAGCCATCACTCGGGCCTCATAGTGCGGATACAAATGCATGGATTGTGGACGATTTGATTCGAAGGTGGGCGGCAGCATATCCATTAAACTAATCACGTAGCTGGCTATCACCGGTGGTAAACTCAGTTCGAGTACATAGCGACGAGTTAGCGCTTCCAGATTAGGTTTCTGGTATCCGTTCAAGTCTATGAACATTGCTATTTTTGACATGTGAGTCCGCATAAACTAGAAAAACCATGATTTTGAATTACTTTTGTGAATTTGAAATTTCTAGATTATAACTTAATCACACGATTCCAAATTAAATAAATAATTAAATTATGAATACTCAGAAATCGCTTTACTTATTATTTAACTAATTACGTAGCTTTGTCGAACTTTAAAGTTAACGCTCATTTTTCTTTTTGTTTAGTTCATCCCTAAGGAAAAGCTAGGCATCTATATTAATATAATCTGTGAATAGAATCCATGGTCTCGGATTCTATTATTCCATTAGTGCTTACCTTATAGCGAACCTTGTCCCTCTGGTGAGCAAATTCCATCTGTTTGAGCAGCTTTTTGCCACCCATGGCCAATTTCTCGGGCAAATAGTTGAGCATATAGCGACTAGTGAGGTGCTCCTCATCAATGAATCGCAGTAGATCGGTCAACTGTATGTCATCCTCGATTTGGTTGAGTGCTATGGCCAGCACAATATACAGTTTGGTAAAATTTAAGCAGTAAACGTTGCGATCAAAATTGTTCAGGCTACCAGCGTTGTGGTGCAGCTTATGACAACGCATGCTGCCCGAACCGTCCATACTGTGTTTGTCCAGATGCTTGAGAGGCATCTGCTTTTTGAAGAATTTTCGCGCATTCGCTGACCATTGTAGCTTCAAATTCTGGTTAGTTGCCAGCGTAGATTCTGAGTTGACGCCGTTCTTAATGCCCGACGCATCCAATTTGCGCTGGAAAACAGGAAACGAGAATAAGTCGGTGTCAGTTTAGTGCAGATAGCCAGGTGATTGATTAACTTAACCTAGGTAATTTGTCGCGTCATTAGCATAAGTCTAAGCGATAAGCTCCTATAAATAGCCAACTAAACCATCCAAATACCAGTTGAACATTGTTGCTTGAAACCTAACTGAAATGTCTCCTCGTCTGGTACTAATCTGCCTAGCACTCCTTGTGCTGGTGTACGCACCCCAGCCCACATCAGCGGCAGCTTTCCAGCTAAGTGGCGGTGAGTCAATTGATGAGCTGATGAAAACCAACAAATATTATATAAAATATTTCCCTTTCTGCACAGCTACATTGCTGGAGCGTGATCCTGATACTGAATTGGCTACAACCGTGGAGCCTTCATCATCGGAATCGGGTCAACCAAAGCAGCGGACTTTCTTCCTGCTGTTGCCGCTGCTCTTTTCCAACCAATACTAAATATCTGATGGCGCTGCCAAAGCCATAGCTAGAGTCGTATATGAATACGCTTACAAAAATATATGTTAATAATAAAGTGAATTAATTGAGCATGCAAACACCTTGGTTTTTCTCCATTTCCGCCAGTTGGCGCGCTCGTCATTGAGTTGATTTGCTGGCTTATTGTCTAGGCGTGCCCGTTTCCGCTTTATCCTCTTGTGGTTATAAATGATTCGAGCATCGCTACAAGGCAAAAACAAGAACAAACGATTTAAAAACACAAAAATAAATATTGACTCCCTTTTAGATATTTGGACAATATATGGTTCTGATCTTAGTCATAAGCATATAGTAGGAATTTTAAATCGGAAATTGTATATGCTCAGATTAGTAAAGACATTTAAATAACAAAATGGTGACATTTCAGAAGTCACTTTTTCTATTCTTATAGATCACTCCAATATACAATAAGATACCCCATCCAGTTTCAACATACAGACAACAAAATTGTCGACTAAGAATATTTATACACTACACTACAAGTTTGTTATAACCTCTGCAAGGGTACATAAAGTTAATCAATTGGAAAAGATGCTGCATTTACTTTGCTAAGGCCCGCACATTTAGTTTTGGCAGGCCCATCTCATTGTTCTTGGTAAACGCCACCTCCATGCGTCCCATATAGGCAGCCCACACCTGCAGCGTCATTAGCTTCAGTTCCGGTTTGGCGCCCATTTGCAGTAGCTCCTGCGTAAAGCCGCGCAGGACATAATTGTAAAATTCCCAAGACGTTATTTCGGCATCTTCCTGTTGCTCTTTTGGCTTCTTGATGGCGCGTTGCGAGGCGTGCTTGGTAGTGTCATTAAATGTGTCCTCGGCGCTTATCTCCACGGCGCGTAGCTGTTCCTTTTTGGTGCCACACTCGATGCAGTAGTAATAGCCTTCGCGTTCCTGGAACGTGCGTTCACGGCAGACATCGCACTCCATGTCAGCCACTTCCATTATCTCCGTGTCCTCCATTTTGACTTGCTATTGTAATATTTAAGTCAGCCAACTTCTCAAATCTTTTTCTACAATAATATAATACAATAACAAACACACGTGTTCAGATACCGGTTATCGTTTATCGATATTCAGTTGTGTTGCCCATTTTAATATCGGTGCTTTTGTAAATCTCCCGCATTGCTTACGTTAGTTAAAAGAATAACAAGATACATTGCTGGGTTCGTAAATTCATTAATAAACCTAATAATAAGAATATAAATAAAGAGATATCTACTCATTCCGCTCAATCAATACGATAGTCAAAAACGCAACCCAGTGGAGACTGCCTGTTGCACGGGAAAATGCTGACAGAGCACATCACTAATTCCAAGCACTGGCGCATGTTGACCTATCCCAATATTTCAAATTTGCTGAATCAAGCATTTTCTTGAATAGTTTTTCCTAATCCAATTGTAGCAATTATATAAGATAAATTCTCAATGCGAGTATAGCTTAACAGCTTAATGAATAACAGCAATTAACAGGCGCCTTCCCAATAGTCAATGAAATGCTTTGCCCTCTCGTCGGATACGCAATCCGAAAGCTAAACACTTGTGCACACCGAAAGCTTACGACTGCAATGGTCAGTCGCCCACAGACCGTCGATCAGTGCAAGTGCAACAGCGGACAATGTGCACCTCCGACGAGAACGTCACAAATATCGAGCATCAAGATTCGTGCCCTGCCATGAATAACGATCAGGAGTTGGTGCCGAACGGCGAGCAGTTGCAAGTGCAGGAGTTGAGTTATTGGTTAGACGCAAATCCAACTATTAATGGCTGCAAAGACTATGCCAATTTGCACTTCTTTTTGCGCACCTGCAAATTTGATCTTGATCGCGCCAAAAAGAAGATTAAAACATTCTACCAAATGCGCGCGGAGCGTGGCGAATGGTTTGACAACTGCGATCCCTTGTTGCCCGAAATCCAGGATCTACTCAGCGTGGGCGTCTTTCTGCCCGTCGATGGCGTCGATGATCAGCAACGAAAGGTGGTCATAATACGAACTGCGGCACACGATCCCAAACGACACACTCAAAATAATGTCTTTAAGGTATTTCACTATATATTTGCACTGTATAAATATGAAATATGTTTTTGACCCTTGCCACATTGTAGACAAGCAAAATGATATTGGATTTGCTATTGAAATTTGAGCCAGACAATTGTGCTCGCGGCATCGTTGCTATTTTGGATATGGAGGGTGTCCAATTGGGACATGCACTGCAACTAAGTCCCAAGCTCATCAAGCGTTCCGTTGAGAGCTGGACGGCGTATCCGTGTCAACCGAAGCTATTGGAGTTTACCAATGCACCGCGTCATGTCAACATTTTTCTGAATACCTTTCGGTGCGTCACATCCATTCGACTAACTGATTACCTTTATTTATTTGAGTATAATTAATGCTTTCTTTGTTTTTTAGAGTCTTTATGACAGCGAAGATACGATCTCGCGTCATGGTGCGCCGCGAGGGCACAATGGTGAATTGCAAACAGCTGCCAAGCAATTTGGGCGGTCAGGGACCCAGCTACAGAGAGCTGGCCTTCAAATGGAAACAATTGCTTGAGCAGCACGCTGACTTTTATGTGGAGCAGGGCAAATACAAAAGCATATTAAGGCGATAAGCGTGCGATTAACAAAATATGTGATTAGAAGTCCACAAAGAGGCGGAATACTTATTGGCACAGAAACATTTATATTTTTGCAGTCGCAGTAATCAGAAAATGTATTGCTCTGAAGGACTATGCTCATATGCAACGAATAAGTATTTATAATTCGTAGATTAGTATAACGCGAAGCTTTTGTGTTATCGTCTCGCGACTATATGCAACGATGTTTAATCTGGAAGCTCGTTTAGAAAAAATCACATTAAGCTTATTAAATTTGTTTACAATTTGCCATATATGTTACAGCTTCTGTCTTGTTATCAGTTAGTTAGGTAAGCGATATTGATATTTTAAATAACATGACCCCAAGCTCTGTTCATTTTCATTATATTCTCTGTGTCTTTATTAGTATAAAATAGTATATCAAAAATGTTTATCAAGTCTATAATTATTATCATTTATTTGGGGCTATCGAGTGTCGTCTCACTTTGCTAGGGGGTTTGCAATGCAAAAGATTTTCCATCCATCTATCGATATTAATAATAAATACGTACATACATACAAAAGAACATAAACAAAATGGAAACTCACACAGTTTTGTGAACAGAATGTTTTTTTAAAAGCGGGTTCTTTGTTAGTGTATCAATTTGTGTTCTTTTAATTTTTACGATGATTTTTTTTTTGTTTGTTCGCTTTTTGCTTTTTTTTTATATAAATATACATACATATATAAATATAAGTGTGTTTTATATCTCTTAAAAGTATGTGTCACATATAAAAATATAGTAGATGTTAAGCCCATCAGCTCCATTATCATCAGCAAACAACGCACTATTGGTAATTTTAGTGGGACCACAAAAAGCACTGAACAAAACTTAAAAGCTATAAACGAGAAAAAAGGAAAGGCGGTAACTAACTGAAGCGTAATATATATGTATATATAGCGTTCAAATACAATTGAAAGTAAAGCGCACTTGCGCCCGCCCATCACAAGTCCAATTGTAGATTAACGCTATTCCCACCACTGTCCATCGTCGGTTGCAGTGATTCCTATATTTGCCGTTCATCCTTTGCCGTCAGCTTATCGATGAGCTCTTGGAGCGGGGCCAGTTCGCGTCGTTCAATCAGATTGAACTCTTGCACAAAGAATATAAAATGCTTAAAGGACGTATTCAAATGGGCCTCCTCGCCCAGCGTCACCACCTCGGAGAAGTGCTGATGATAGATGTGTGCATAGACGCGAAACAGTCGCTTCAATATGGTTTTAGCGGAGGTGAGAAAATTCTTTGGAAATGGTACACCAATTTTGGATGGGAACAGTGTCTCATCATCCAGCTGGTCCTGCACCCAGGTCATCAAATAATCAATATACTTGGGTGCGCTGCATTTAATGGGCTTCTTAACGGTCAAACCATCCGCCCAATGGTATTCATATTTCGGACCGGCCGACATAATGCCACAACTCTCCTCCGTACAGAATTCCGTTATTGTGCCATACAGCATATTAATCTGATTAAAGAAATCCACAGCTGTAAGGCAGACAGAGAGAGAGAGCTTATGAAAAAGTTAGCCAAGACAATGTGTGTGCATGTATGGTGATGCTAGGACACAATTACTCACTGTTGACGGCCACCCATTCGTTGAGATCCTCGCCATCGGGCAGAGCGACGGCGTTGCGTAAATTGCCGGAGCCGAGTGTGGCGGCTGCATGCTTCATGAGATCATATTGATGCGTGCCCTCCGGTATATTCTTTTTCGGCTTAAAGGTTTTACTCGATCGTGAACCGCTGCAGGCGAAAAACAGATTCATTGTATTGGTATGCCACAACAATCAACCCCTCCAGGCCACAACAGCCAGTCGTGGAGCCATCGCCTCACACCAACCCACAACATGGCTGAACAAAGGGTAGCCGTTCTTTGTTTGCCACTGTTGTTTTAGTAATGCCAGTGCAACTGGCTTCTAGGCTTACATTAACATATGCATATATGTAAAATGTTCGCAGTGTAAAATCAACAATATACGCATACGTATGCGATTGTGTGTGCGACAGCTTTCGACATATGAATATACTTACAACAAAAAATCCATTGCCATACAGTTATTGTCGCCGTTCACTTGCCACAAAACGAAAAACTTATTCAGCACCCTGTCTAGCAGTATGGATATTTATCGGCAGTACACCTTTCGGATGAGTGAGTATTTGTAGGGTTGTTAAAAACAATGTTTAATCCTAATTATTTCTTTATTAACAAAAATTGTTGGCAGGGCAAAGTGAGGGCTGGCAACTAATACTGACCACATCGATAGGCCAAACTCGAAAGCTGACATATCGATTATTCTTTTGACAGCGCTGTTCGCGTTGCCACATGGAGCTAAATAATCGCATATGTATACACTGGAAACGTGCAAGTGTGTACACAGTATTCGCTCTCTTAAGCACGTGGAAAAACAACGCGACTTGGTTTCCCCGTGGAAAATTGATAATCTTTATTAATTTAAAGGCATATTTAAGCCTTAATTATGGTAAATACTTTTGAAATCATAGTCATTGAGGAGTTTTCTATAGATATATGTGTGATATAAGTCACATATATACAATAAATATAACCTATGTGTTAAATGTGTGCGGGAGCTCCATAAAACGTGGAAAAAACTCAACTTGCACCGCAATTTCAATTGATTTCGTGTATTAATTCAAATTTATTTACAATTGCAGACGAATCTGTACGTGCTGTATGAGCATGCGGCAGGCTTTTCGCTCTTCTCCGTCAAGGAGTTCGAGGAGGTCTCCATGTTCCTGCCGCAGGTTGAGTCCTCCGTCACGGACATTGCCAAATTCAATTCGATTGTGAAGCTGGCGGGATTTTCGCCATTTAAGACGGCAATTGCTGCACTGGAGAATATCAATGCCATATCTGAGGGTATTGTGCCTCAGGACTTGTTGCATTTCCTCGATGATTTCTTCGCCAAGTTGAAGAAGAAGAAGTGCACTTTGGGCATTGCGGATGCAAAGCTGGGCGCTGCCATAACTGAATCTGTGGGCGTTCAGTGCAGCCACTTTGGTGTTGTGCCCGAGATTTTGCGCGGTGTGCGTTTCCACTTTGCCAAGCTCGTAAAAGGTAGGTCAACAAGCTCATTTAGAAATATTATCCCAATAATAAACATGTTAATTTGCGTTTGCAGGCTTTACTGACAAGTCGGCTGGCGTGGCACAGCTGGGTCTGGGACACAGCTACTCACGTGCCAAGGTCAAGTTCAATGTGCATCGTTCGGACAATATGATCATTCAGTCTATAGCTTTGCTGGATCAGCTGGACAAGGATGTCAATACGTTCTCCATGCGGATACGCGAATGGTATTCGTATCACTTCCCAGAACTGGTTAAAATTGTTCCCGATAACTACATGTTTGCCAAGGCGGCCAAGTTCATTAAGGACCGCAAGGACCTCACCCAAGATAAGCTTGAGGGTCTCGAGGAAATTGTAATGGACTCTGCCAAGGCGCAGGCGATCATCGATGCCGGTAAAATGTCCATGGGCATGGACATATCCATTGTTGATCTAATGAACATTGAACTATTTGCCGAGCGAGTCGTCAAGCTCTCGGAATATCGCAAAAAACTATCCACATACTTGCACAACAAAATGAATAGTGTTGCACCAAATCTGCAGTCGCTCATCGGCGATCAAGTCGGCGCACGCCTCATCTCGCACGCGGGCAGCCTGACAAATCTGGCCAAGTACCCCGCATCGACAGTACAAATTCTGGGTGCCGAGAAGGCACTCTTCCGTGCCCTCAAGACTCGCTCCAACACACCAAAGTATGGTTTGATCTATCACTCGTCTTTCATTGGACGCGCGGGCCTCAAGAACAAGGGTCGCATCTCTCGTTTCCTGGCCAACAAATGCTCGATTGCCTCGCGCATTGATTGCTTCCTTGAACAGCCGACGAGTGTATTTGGTGACACACTGAAGCAACAGGTGGAGGATCGCCTTAAATTCTATGAATCGGGTGATGTGCCTCGCAAGAACATCGAAGTGATGAAGGAGGCCATCGAGGCGGCTGGTCAAGAAGTTGCAAGCACACCACAGACCGACAAAAAGAAGAACAAGAAGAAGAAGCGTCCTGCGGATGCTGATACAAATGGCACAAGCAATGGCAATGGAGCAGCAGCACTTGATGAGGCCGACAATGGCAATGGCGATGCGGATGGTGAGCCCAAGAAGAAGAAAAAGAAGAACAAGAATAAAAACAAACAAGCCGTGGAGGCGTAGATATCACCTATGTACCTTTTCGGTATTCCACATTAGCGCTTAGTTCTAAGTTCAACACTTTTTATTTTACTTAATATTTCTTTCAATATATCACGATAAAGCCAACTAAATAAACAACACTTTTACCACACAAATTGTTCAAAATGACTTTCAATACAAAGTAAGGCGTTACAGAAGACATCATTTCGAACCATTTGTATGCGGACGACAAGCTAAGCGGCTTAGTCTCAGTTTCTTGACTTGATAAATCAGTGCTGAAAGCAGTAAACATAAATCAGAGTTTTAATTTCATTCTTTATTTTCACACATTGGTTTTATTTACATACACATAACTTTTCAACTATTGCTAAATGTTTCGGTATTTTTTTTTGTTTTTTTATTTTTTATTTTAATATTTTTTTGTAACAATTTGAATGATACATCAGACGTCCTTCCAAATGTTGCGCTAAAATATCGATTTAGTACAACCATTAATTAATTTTATTGCATTTATGACATTTAAACACGCAAAAGTATTTAAATTCCGAGTGGACAACAGGACGGATGTGGAATTATCGTTTTTTGTTTTGTTTTTTGATTTTGTTTCGGTACCGGTTTTTTTTTTTTTTTAATTTTTGGAGGAAAATCAAAAAGTGCTCAAATTCTACAAATAATAATACATTGGGATATTGGGTATTGGAATTTGCTGTGATTAACAATCGATTTACCAACAAAATAATCATATTACATATTGTATGATACAGGGGAAGATAAGATAGAATACACCGGAACAGGTTAGTTCCGTTCCGGATGTGCGTGCGTGCGTGCGTGCTTCCGTGTGGAACGTCATTAGGCTAACAAATATCATTGGAACAAATCAAATGCTGAGGAATTGTTATTGCTGCTGTTATGCTGTTGTGGCTGCTGGAAAGCGTTGAAGTTGGCAAATGCTGTTGCTGCTCCTGCTGCTGGCTGTGCCTGCATCTGCATCTGTGGAATGGTCTGTTGCGGCGCCCCAAACATATTGGGGCTGGTAAGTGGCGAGGCCGTTAGCCCCGGAAATGCGCCTCCCGTTTGCACATTCAGCGGCGACTGCGTCTTGGCGGGACTCTGCGTTTTCAGCGCATTCATCGAGAGTGCCGGCGCATTCGATTTGCCCGATTTGCTCAACAGCAGATTATCCAAATCAATGTTCAGATTGCCTGCCTTCAGATTACCCGACCAGGTGGCACCCACATTTGTCGGCTGCGTGCTGCTGCTCGTCGTCGCCCCATTTGTGTTTGTATTGATGTTGTTATTGTTGTTGAGCACTGACATTGGCTGCAACAGACTGTCGGCGTTGACAGCAGCAATTGGTGGCAGCATGTTATCTGCAAAGAACGCACAAAAATTGACCATCAATTAGGTGGAATACAAATCGCAGTTAAGGGAACTAGTATAGGCATAAGAAATGTTAGTAAGCATAGGTGGGTGTAAGTGTGTGTGTGTATGTGTGTAAGTGTGTGTGGGTGTGTGTCTATGTGCGGCTTATCGATTGTGTGAGATGAGTGTGGTTGGAAGCATTGTTGATAACAGGCGCAGGTAACTCAATCAGCTAAGTGCAGTTGAATTGTTGTTTGTTTTTTTTTAACAATTACTATTTATTGTATTTGTTTTTGGTTATAGTTGTTTACCTAGTGCGTCCGCGGCTGTGGCACAATGCCCGGTATATTGAGAAATGCTTTAAGGTATTTTTATATATATATTTCATAGATTTATCACAATAATATATATATATATATGTTATAATTGAAATAATATCCAAATTGTGCGTTTGCAATATAAAATGTCAAGGGAAAAAGGAATAAAAGTAAAGTAGAAATATTTGTTCAAATCAAATCTGTAAGTACCTGGCTTGCTAGTTTTATACATATGTAGTATCAATGTATATTTCTATGCTTGTAGTCTAAAGCGTTGAATCGCCATTATCGTTTTCGAAAATTACTACGGCGCTTTGAACATAATCCGAATACTTTAAATGATTTACAACAATATATGTAAATATGAAAAGTCATGCAATCCACCGACAGACAAATAATTGTGTTCAACTTATTTGAAATGAAAGTAATCGTAACATTAAAGTTTATTTTAAATTTTGAAATATTCAAAGTAAATTGATAAACTGATATTAATTTAAATATGTCGGTTACCTAACATATGTGCTTGAATAACTGTTCAATTTGAACAATACTGTGGGATTAGAAAAAACCATATTGTCAATTTACGATTCGGATTAGAGCAAAGTATCGCAATAATTTTCGAATTTCGAATATAGAAAACGTGTCGTATCTAAAATATACGCTATGCATATTTTTGTGGAGAAGCAGAGATGACAAAATTGAAGATTTGTGTTCATTAGGGCATATATTATAACTACATATAGTATATATATATATATTTATATCTAAAGCTTAGTACTGTTGGCTCTGTTCGAGAACGGCCGTATCATATAGTTTATAGCATGTGCCTAAAATCTGTTCGGCGAGCTCTCGGCACTCGTCCGATGATTCACCACCGACGAGCGGTGAGCGCACAAACTCCTCCAGCCAACGTCTCAGTTCGTTGAGTGATTCGGCAGAATGGGCAGCCAGCAGGTGGGCGGGCATGGTGACCAGCGCAGTGCCCAGCAGTTGCAGTGTCGCCGCACGTACTCGTGCCTCGGCGCTGAAGCGCACAAAGGCGCACAGATCGAAGATCTCACGGGTCATGGCCGGCAGCAGGGGACAGTTTTGGGCGCACATAACCAACACGGCCAATGTGTGCAGCATGTTGATCAGCAGCAATGTCTCAATGTCATGCGAAATGTTATCGTACTTTACGTAAAGCATTTGACGTGTCCGCTGACCGCGCACCAGGCCAAAGAAAAATGTTCCGGCCACGGCATGGAAGGGATTCATTTTCGCCTGAGCCTCTGGTATTTTGTGCTTGCTTAGAAAGCGTCTTGTCTTGCTGCGCAATCTTTCGCGTATGATTCGCTGTGCGGCAAGCAGGCGCGCTGCGGCTGCATCTTCGTCGGGGTGCAACATGAACTTGCGTCGCTGTTTGGCAGCTGTTGGCACAATATCCAAGATTTCCGCATTAGTTGGTGACGGCTGGTGCTGATCACCGGCCAGCTCCTTGGCCGCGGCAGCCAGCACCTGTAGTATGAGGATGCGCACTTTGGACGCATACCGTGTGTTGTCCGTGTGGAATTCACGACACAGCAACTCCGCACAGGCGGCCGGTTGGGCTACGCAAATGGCCACACAACACTGGAACTGGGTGATCTCAAAGTTCTCAAAGTAGTACTGCATCTCGAGTGTTATAAACAGCTGCATCAGCTCCTGGGCCAGCTTCACATCTTGCTGTGCCAGCTGACTGCGTATCAGTTGCTCGGCAGTGCTCAGTGCACTCTCAAAGATCTCACAGTTTGCCACTTTGGTGCGCAACAGATGCAGCAAGTCAAGTATGAACTTGGGTCGCTGTTCCAGGCTGCTGGAAATATCATTGGACATGTCATATGGCTGTAAGTCATCGTCCTCGTCGACTATCTGTGCTGGTGTCTCATCATCATCCGAGTCCAAGTCCAGCTGCATGATTGCAGCAGTTGTTGTTGTTGTTGTCGCTGCTGGCTGCGTCTGTGGTGAGTTTGACTGCACCTGCTGCACCTGCTCGCCCATAAACTGAGCCATGTGCAGCTCGAGGCGTTGCATCAACTCGCAACTGGGTTGCGCATCCAATTGTTCCTTGCTGGGAAGCACAAGATTCTCGAGCTCCTCGAGAATGTGCCAATGTGGCGTCTGCTCCATGGATACGTAATTAAAATGCAAATAATCCTCGTTCTTGGCGTTCGGATCCAATATGCAATTATAGAGCAGCTCTACGGTCTTCATGCCCACATAGCGCTGCACCATGTCAGGCGACTGCAGATGGTGACTGAGTCCATCGTGCAGCTGACATTTGTGCCCCGCCTGCAACATGCCACCGTATTTGCCGGTAAGCACAAGCATCTTGCTGATCGCCACATGCTCCTGGCTGCTCAGCTTTTGTAGTGAGATGCGACTGGACCAAATGCCCAGCAGCTGCGTGAAGAGCAACTGCAGCTGTGTGGGCGCAACGACATTTAGATAACCCACAAGCGAGCAAAGTGCTCCATTTTCGATGGGCGTACGCTGCAGCGGCAGCTTCTGCAGCAAACAATGCTGCCAATGGGGCGACTCCAAAGCAATTGTTCCCAGCAGCACGTATAGATTAAGCTGGATGCTGAGTGCGCTCTGTGCCAATTTAAAACACGCCGTTGGCTCCAGTTCACGCAAGATTTGCTGCACCACGTTGCGTGGCTTGGGTGCAATCGCTAAGTCCTCGAGCACTCGCAACAGACACTCCACATTGGAAGCATCGTGAAAGTTGGCGAGGACACGTGATAGCAGCCAGCTAAACGGGCTTAGATCGAAATGTCCTGTATTATCCTCGCACTGCAGCACAAAGTGGACAGCTTTCAACCACTGACGCAACAACAGGCGCCCATAGGCGCTGGCCGCAAATATCGCCGGCATCTGACGTCCCAGCTTATTGGCCACGAGACTGGGCAGACCCATTAGGAGCTGAATGAACTGCATTATTTGCTCGTCGTGCTGTTCCAGCCGTGGCTCTGGCATCAACTTAATGGTGCGCGCAAAACGTTGCATTAGCGCTCCACGCTGGCGTGCCAAGTGCAGCAGACAGATGGCCAGCAGACGCTCATCTTGGAGCAGGGCGGCGAGCAGACAGCTCGCCCTGCTGGGCACACGTTCCAGCTGCTTTAATAGCGTCTCAAATGCCACTTGCACATAGCCCGAGCTGTGATCCAATTTGAACATATTTAAGATATCCCCATCTGCCTCGGGCTCCGGCCAATCCGGTGTGAACAGCCTGGCCAGCTGGGCCAGCAGAGCGGCATACTCGTCACTGGCCAGCTGGGACCAATCAACCGTCGGGCAATCTAGATCCACGAGTTGCTCTGGCGTTGTATATCCAGGCAAGGCACCAACGCTATGCAGTTGACGCAGTGTGGCTGCCACAAAGCTGACATCTGCGGCGCTCTGAACGCTGCTTAGCGATCGCAATTCCGCAATGGCCTCGTTTAGAGCCAGATGTATCGATTCGGACGGTGGCGGTAGCGGTAACGGCGGCGTCTTCAAGACTTGCCGCGGCATTTCAACAGCTGCGTCGATTTAAAAGGAAGAAAAAGAGAACGAGTGCATCCGATTGGAATATGTTGCCGTTATGTGTGGAAGCTACCTTAGCAGCAAGAGAGATACAATGACAAACAGAGAGAGAGAGAGAGAGAGAGAGAGGGAGAAATTGGGAGAGTTTCGTTCGGAAAACGAGTCGTCATGCAAAACGCTTCATTGGACGACCAAAAGATACGTTAAACGTGATCTATCTAGGCTAAAACAAATCCTAATGCAAATCCTAAAAACTAATGCTTAGAACTATTTAGCTTAAGCTTAAGATACTCACCCATTGGCATGCTCTGATGGATCGATAAATCACCCAATCCGGCCAGCAGATCAGTGGCTGTTGTTGGTGCCGCTGGCGCTGCTAGCGTTGTGGCATTGAACAAATCGAAGGCATCATTGGCTGGCGTCGCCGTCGTCAGCAGCTGGCCATCCAATGCCGAAGATGATGACACCGCCGCCGTACTTGAGCCCTGGAATGCAGCAAAGTCCGCAAATTCATCGTTGCCGGTCGCCGGTAATATGCCAGTCGATGGTGGTGCTGAGCCGCCGCCAAAAGCAGCAGCAAAATCACCAAACTCTTGCGTTGGGGCAGCGTCTGCAGCACGTGGATTGAAATCATCGTCGTCATCGACAATAACTGCTGCGCTATTAAGCGTCTTTTCGCTCTCCTGCTGTGGTGTTGCCGGAGCACACGTTTTGAAAAGATCATCCAGCAAATCATTGTTGTTGCTGGGTGTATTGCTCTTGTTGTTGTTGCTGTTGTTGTTAGGCGAAACGCCGCCCATTAGATCAACACTGTTGCCGGTGGGCGTGTCGCGATGCGTGGGCGAATGAATGCCGGCCGCGTTTGGCGTCTTACCAAAGTTAGCAGCAGCACCCAAATTAATTTTCTTTTGCGTTGGCGGCATCTTGGTTGAGGTTGAGCTGCCTGTTGGTGTCGGCTGCTTGGACACCGGCGAGCTGACTGCCTTTGAGCGTATGTTCATATTCAGGCTTGGCGGTTTGCTCTCAGTGGCCACCTCAGCGGGACTAGCACGATCATTGTAACGATAGTTGCGTCTAAAAATGGTCAAATACAATGATTAAATGACAGACAACGTTTAAAATCAATTTAATTACCTGGGACTTGGTGAGTCACTGTCGGAACCCTCACGCTCGCCATCGTAATGAGTATCCTCGTCTTCGTAACGGTCTGCGGAGCTTTTGTCGGAATCTAAAATTCAATGTGAAAGCATTTCAGTTAATATGATGTGATGTAAAGCAAACCTGTTCAATATGCAAGTAGCTATAGCCTATCGGTATGTATCTTAACAACTGATTGAATACGTTTCCAATAATAGGATAAGTTTAACTAGCAGATATTACTATTTAATATTATATAATCCTCTGAATACTTACACCAATTGTCGCCACGATTGTTGCGCCAGTCGCCATCGTTGTAGCTACTGCCACCACCACCGCCACCACTGTAACCGCTGTAGCCGCCGCTACGAGAGCCGCCCATTGCATCGCTGCTCATGCCAATGTACTTGTCCTTATTCTTTTTGGCTTTCTTGCGTTCCTCGCGCAAACGATCATCGTCCTGAATAAAGTCTATAAGCTCTCGTACCTTATGCCTAACATTAATACCCTGATCCTTGCCGCCTTCGTCCGTAAACGTGTAATTCTCTAAGGAGCGCAGATCGTAGATGTGCTCCCGCGACGAAGTAACCACACGCTCCGACCCATTTCGCACCAAATAGTTTAGCAGCAGCAGACTCTACAAATGGTCTAAAGATGAGCACAAAGAAATCTAGAAGAATTTGTTCATTTGTTACATACTTTATAGGTCCGCCGCCAGTTGGTCTTATTGTCCTGCAGCATGCGTTTCCAAAGCATGGACATGACCTCTGGAAACGTCTCATAGGAGAATGTGGCATGCGCCAGCTCTTGCATGAGTGGACCGGTTGGACCCCAAGGATCATCGTTGGTCGCTTCGCGCACCTTGCCCTCAATTTCTGTGTAGTTCATTACGACATTGGTGCTGCAAAGATACACGTGTGGAATATTGCAAATTACGATTATTTCAATAAAATTAGTTAAATATCGCGGACTCTTCTAAAGTACTTCAGTGCTCGATTACTCATTGTGTTGCTGATCAAAAATCATGTGGGTTGAAAATCACAAGAAGAAATAGATGCAAACATTGCTCAGAAACAAAAAATTCGATATGCCAAACAAAAAATTGATATTAGTTAGTATCCAAAGAGACATAAGAGCACAACAAATAAATGCCCGCATACCTTTTTTTATATACACATGTAGGTACAATCGTGAGCGTACGGTGTACATAAATAAATATATCTGCACTTGTCTGACACAATTATTGTTTGATTAAGAAAATATAAATATGGGTTTAATATGTTCCACGAAGGCAATTTCTGTGAACACATCTTTGATGGCAAGCCAATATATATATATATATTGTTCATGTTGGATAAAAGTACTTCTTCGCTATCTCGAAACAAACTATATTTTAATTGTTTGTGTTTTATAGGTCGCAGTAGATAAAAATAGTACGTCTTTGAACTGATAAAAAAAACTATCATTGATTGCCACTTGGTTAACATGGAGTTTGACATGCGTTGTTGGTTGGACTTCCAAACGTGATACAAAAAGTGTGAATTGTCACAAGTGCCTGTTATCAGCTCTTAGATAAGCAGTCACAACAGACTTGGGGAATACAACAATAGATTTATAACTGCCAAAATTACACACTTTCCATTTTGGACAAACATATTTCCGGAAGTCCCAATCGCATATGAACTGAAGTGGATAAATTTTGAAGTCACACACACAAACAAACTCACAGCGATTCAATGGAAAAGATAGTAAAATATTATAAATACAGTAATTAATAGCTGCTCGTTGCTGGAAAGCCGCAACTGGAAGCACAAATGTGAGCACAGCTGGAATACACATAATTTATTTTGGGGGCAAACGTTGAACAAATAATTGTTTTTTGTTTGATAAACTCTATGTATATGTATGTGTGCATATATATACATATATGCATGCATGCGTATATGTGTGAATTGGAATTTCTGTGATATGAGCTTCAACGTAAGTAGTACATTTAAATCCGGACAAAATGAACACAATAACCTTGAAAGCAACAAAAGCAACCAACGTCAAACAAAGCAGAGCGTTAATCGCTCGTTACCATAAGCGAGGAGGAGAACAACAGGCAAAACTATATTACTTTTGGCACGACTGCAATTGTAGCACCTGTATATTGTGAAAGAGACAGGTATTTGGGACTGGGGGTGAGTTGTTGGCGAAGGGCGTGGGAGTGCCTCTTCCCCTACACACTTGAGTTTTTTTTTTTTGTTGCTGTTATTTTAAATTGCCCCATTTAGATTATTATTTAAACATATTAATTTAGTGCACAACTTACACTTTGTCCGCCAATTCGCGCACTTTCCACATGCTGATAAATTTATCAACCATTTTAGCTTAATTTTCTGCTTTGGAACTTTTCACACAAACTTGCCTAGGTGCTGGCAGACAAAACTCGTTTTTATTTTGTGGTAATAACACGTATTCCGTATGCATATATATATATGTATATATTGAACTGAGAAGCTCGCTTAAACGAGTTACATGTAGCCGTATGTGTTTTATTTCTTCACGCCAAATAAAAAGTATAAAATTTAAATGAAAATGCAAAATAAAATCACTGCACTACAGGCAGAATTTTGGTGAGCTGTCTCTCGTTAGTGTTGCAAATGGTTTCAATGGCACAGCGATACCAAAAATATTCCGCAAGCAGTGTTGCAAAACGTGTATCTGCTACATATCGATGAAAACATTAGGTGCTGTTTTTGCTTATCGATATATTACTAAATGAGCATTTTACAACACTGGAATAGGCTGCCGTTGCCGTCATCTGTGGAATTGTCCGATTCTACTAATAGGAAAGTTAATATATTTTGTAAAAATGTATAAATCATGACTCGTAATGCATATGTACAACAATCTTCTGCAAGAACACTAACTGTGGACATCATGTTGACACTGAACTATCAGATTTTCGTACAATAAAAAATGTAAACAAAAAGGTTATGTAAACTTCATTGGTCTTACAGCGTGAAGATTTGCCGAAGCGCTCCTCGAAAACACTGGGAACATAAGTGAAAATGTTGGGACTACAACGTTTAGCCGGCAGTATTGTGACGCAGCTCTATCGACGCGCCACATACAGTAGCAACACACGTGCGGCGAGCGCGGCACTTGCAACGGCGGCAAGTAATGGAGTGGGATCTGGAGCGACCGATGAGCCAGATGCTCGTACGCCGGCGGCAGAGGCGAGCGCCAGGAAACAAAAGAGCTCGGGTGGGTATTTATTATGATAAAGTAACTTTTACATTTACAGTTTGATAATTTACAGGTCACATGGTCGCAGCGGCATTTGAATCACTGCGAAATGAAAACGAATCCAAAGGGAAATCAGCGGCATCTATCGGCAATAACATTGATGAACGGATTGTCAACGCTAAGACAGTAAACGGACTGTTGGCCATAACAGAGAACAACAACGCATTTTCACGTAAACATGCCCTGAAGATTGTTTCAATACTAGCCGAATGGAGCACCATTAATCGTGTTAAAATATCTGAGTTCGAGAATGATACGAGGTTCCTTCGCGTTTGTCGAATGCTGGGCCGCACAGTGCCCAAGGATGGAGCCAATGGAAAAAATGGTGGCTCTAACAACAACAACGCTTCGAAACGCATTTCCGGCTTTCGCACTGATGACTTAAATACGGTCCTAGGTGTGGCGGGTGACGATGAGGCGGCCAAGTTAATAGCCAGCATAAGTCTGCCGCAGATGGTAAAGGTGATGAGCACCTTGGCGCAGCGAAAACGTCGCAGTACTCCATTGCTGCGCTCGCTGGCGTTCAACATAAGTAGCTCCTCGGAACAGCTGGATCTGAAGCAATCAGCCGATGTGCTGTATGCCATGTCCACGCTCAATTTCCAGGACTCTGTGCTCGGTGCTAAAGTGTGTGCAGATGTACAAGCTGCACTGCCAAAGAACTCGGAAAAATCATCCGTTGTGGGCTCCGTACTCACCAGTCTCGGCATAATGCGCTATCGTGATTTGGGTATGTACAAAACATCATCAATTTAGTCAGGTCTTAGAGCATCTCTAATCATATATCATTGCAGATATACTAGAATCGTTAACGCAGTGGCTGCTAAACAATAGTGAAATCTGTCGGCCTCAGGATCTCAGCGCTTACTTTTTAACAGCGGCGCTGCTTAACTTTAAAAGTGCACATTTGGAGGATGTGCACAAAAAGCTGGCGAAGTCCATTGTTCGAGAGGACTTCAAAAAGCAATCAGACTGGCTAAACTATGTTTGGTCGCTGACAATGCTGGGTCTTGTGGATCACAGTCAACTGGAGTCGGTGCTGAGGTTGTTCATTGTTCGCTACGTGTTTTGCTAAAATAGAGTTAACTAACTATATTTGTCTTACAGCGCGGACTTCTTGGCTAAATTGGAGAGTGACAAGGCCGGCTTAACGCCAACAGCAAAAATGAGGCTTCTAAATTTAAACAGTTATGCGCAACTTTGTGCTAGCGACTACAAGGGCGTCCTGCTGCCAGCCGATAGTGCTGTCTACCAAGTGCCCATGGCGCACACGAAGACGAAACACATTCTTGTCAACGGTATGCTGGACGCGCTTAAGAGTCTGCTGCCGGCCAGTAATCATGTGCAAGGCTCGGTGGATAGTAAAATGGGTTTCCTAATTGGTATGTGACTGCAAGCAATAAATGACGAAACTTTTTAAATATGTCTCAATTACAGATGCGGTATGTCAGTTCGATGCAAAAAGAAATCCACTTCCCCTGGATAAGATGAATCCAGATGCCATCAGGTGGTTTCCATTATAATTTGCCTCGTTGCTCTCCTGATTCGATAATGTGTGTATTTTACTTTCAGAGTCGCACTAATGGTGGTTGATTTTCATGACATTTGCCATGGGACGCATCGTAGTGCCAGCGGCATAACGAATCTAGCGTTCGATCTGCTGGAGAAGAGTGGCTATCAAGTGATACCTGTGCCCTACAACGAATTCAACACCAGTGACAAATTACTGAAGCGTGTTCAGTATTTGGAGGCGAAGTTTAAGGCCCTTGTTAGTAGCAAATAAAATCAATTATAGATTTGTACTGTTTTCATCATAATTTGAATTGTTTGATTATTGTAATTTTATAATTATATTAGGCACTGCATTAAAGTAAACTATTCAAATCCGGTATCTGCAAAATTTAAATATCTTTAAAATTGGTTAACTGCACGGATAAAACTTGTAATTTAATTAAAATTTTAATATTATTGTAAATATTTTCTAATTTCTACTAGCGTTTAGATCGCATTCAGGTCGCTGCTGCGCTGCTTATTCATGCCAACCTTCCACCATTGTCCCGTCTCCTGGAACTCGGTGGCAACAGCTGCCAGTGTATGGAACAAATTGCGTGACAACATATGGCAATTGCCCACATGCAATATAAACTTGGGATCGTAAACCTTATCCATTTGCTCAATCTTATAATGATCGCGCGTCTCACGCTCTGTGAGACAAACACAGTTCCATGGCGACCAATCGTCGCTTTTATTCCAGCGTGGCAAACTGGCAAAATATTCGAGGAATCAGTTACGGCAGTAATTTGCCTTGACAACTTACCGCAGTTCGTTTAGGTTTTCAGACTTGCTCAGCGCTGAGTGACCATGCCAGATTTTGTCAATAATATGACGCACATCGTCCTGCTGGATGACAAAGGCAAAGGATGTGGCGCACTTTCGCTTCCGTTCGTCTCGCTGAATACAACGCAGAATCGACTGGTAAACATTGTTCTCTGTGGCCACCAACTGTAAGGGATTTGTCCTGGATTAGTTTGACGAAGCCATCTTGGCCAAGTTATTAGCTCACCTTTAGGTAGTAGCAATGCTTGCAAGTGTCCACGTGACTCTGTCGCGTTCGAATCGCAAACTGGGCGAATGGCTTCACCTTCTTGCAGACGATGCACATACGCGAGGGAATCTCTGCATAAGGATATACAATTGGTCGAATATATACTACGATGTCGATAGCTACTTACTCTCCCCCTGCTCGCGTTTCTGAAACTTAATCAGCTCGAAGAATAATATGTTTTGACGCTTGCGCAGGATTTCCACATCGCAGGACTTGGTATAGATGAGCAGATTTTTTTCCCGATCGAACAGATCAAAAAGCTAAAGACTTGAACGTTAATATTTACCTCAACTGATATCCCAAACAATCAAGTTTACCTCTGGAAAGTTGGGAAAACTTGTCTCATCCATGAGCAATTCCATGACACGCCTGATCAGCTCCAGTCGCTTCTCCTTATCCACCGTTTTGCGCAAATCCTTGTAGATCTCAGTCAGAAATCGCACTCGTTGCGTACGCAGCAGGTCCAGGTGTATTTTGGTATCCTTGTAGCCAATCCACTCGACCGGCTTACCCATCTCCTTGAGCAGTTGATCATTCCGAAAGTCCTCCATGGCCAAGTAAACGACTCGACGCTGTCGCTCCACACCGTTCAGCAAACGGATTTCCTTGTCCAGCAGAATGTTTACCTCCGAGATGCGTGCCGGTCCCTCAAAATTAGCCGCAATGCGTTTAAGTTCCGCTCGTTTCCAACGTGAGATTTCCGCAAACAGCAAGTCAAAGTCATCATTGGAGCGGGGAAATTGCTTGATGAGTTCATTTCGCTCAACCCGCTTCTCGACGCACTGCTCATAACGCTGATCCTCATCCATGCGATTTTTTACCAGACGTCTGCCAACAAGAACAGTTCTAATCAAATCCACCTGAATGTTTAGGTTTACTTACCGAAACTCCTTGGCACGGAGGTGAATATGCTTCCAGAGTATCCAGCGTCGCCAGTTGCGCTGTATGAGGAGAATCTTCTCGAGCCGTCGCTCGGCTCGTTCCTTTTGCGCATATGTTTGATATTTACCAGGTATGATGACAAAATCAGTGGCCGTGGACACGTATCTAATGTTGATGTCATCTAAAAAGCATTGCACGGCTTGTTCGTGTGCCGTATTCTAGAATTATCATTTATGTTTGATATTCGCGAACATTTCTTAGTAAAAATCAAAAAGTAGCTTCTCACCAAAGTCTTCTCTTTGTGATCCCAGGTTTGGGTATCCCGTGTGCGATACCGTCTATACTTCCATTTGTCAAAATAAGGTCCAGTTTGTGTAAAGGCATCCTCATATATTTTGCCACTAATCTTGTCCTTATAGCCGCACATAAAAGGCTTCACAATTGCAGCATTTTCGATCTCGACCACAACATTCTTGGGCTGCCCATCCTCCGTATCCTCACCAGATATATGCACGGTCAGATAGTCAGGCAGACGATATTTGCTATGCAGTTCATGTATGGTGTTAGTAATAAGTATTTCAGGTATGCAAATTCATACTCACTCATAGTACACACTCAGACTCAGTTTGGGCATTGAGTCCATGCCATCAGCGCTTTGTGGCACATTGAGTTCCAGCTGAAACTCGTGTATACCAAACTCATCACAAATGGTCGAATTAATGGGTATGGAATTGCAGAGAATGCGATCCACTTGCTTAACAACAATTAGCTCCGGATCCACCTCAAAGCGACGTGATATATCCTGCTTGACCTCGCCAATGGTCATGCAATTGGGATAAACTTGGGCAATGGACTTGCCCTGCGATATACAAAACTTGACCGTAACATTTTGCACCTGCACACAGCTCTCCTCTATCAGTTCGGATTCGGTGCTGCGTTCCTCGTAGTTTGGTCCGCATACGGCCCGTACTTGTGGCTGCTGCGATGGCGAAACATTCAGCTGCAAATTGCATGTGTAGGATGGCGGCGGCGGAGAATCCTTGTCGCTCATTTTCGTATGTAACTCAAAAATATAAATGCGTTTTATTCTATAGTTGATTATTTGTGGAATCCAAACGGCCTGCTCGGTGTGGGGCCCTCAAATGGGACGACTGTTCAGGGTCAGGGGAGGCTATGGGAATTCATTTGTTCAATAAATACTGTTGCTTGGCGCCCTGTTGTGGCAACGCGCCCGTTGGCCATGCCACATTTTCCCTAACGTACATTTCGTACTCTTTATTACCTAATTGGCCACTGAATTTTCTCACGCATTCGTAGTTACACATTTTTTTGTTGTATTTAAATTAATTTTATTTACATGTGTTTTTGTTGTTGTTGTTGTTGTGTGTTTCTTGTAGTGAAAGCGCCACTCAACTAATATGATGAGTGGCCGCTATCTTTTTGTCAGCTATAAATTTACGAGCGAATTTTTGCCTAATTGCCCCGATTTCCATTTGTGCTGAACATTAAAATACATTTTGGGTCGGTAAGGGAGGCGATGAGATTGGACATTTTTTAGGCCAGAATATTACATGAATTTGAATGAAAAATGTCGTTTCCAAATTTAAATGCTGTATTATTCTAGTGTTTGAACTATGATGATGGATTTGACTTAGAAATTCCTTTCAGTTTTCATTGTAGAAAGTTTTGAATCATATACATCCGATCTATAGACCTGATACCCGTTAAGAATCATATTGAATCAACCAATTGTATACGTTCTTGTTGTTTTGTATGCATAATTGCTAATTCATACGTATGTGGGAGGAGGGGACAGATATTCAAATAGTGCTCAGTGCATTTTGGCGTGGGCTTATTATTGACTGAACTCTCATTTTGTTCGGTGCAATGCCTGAGGTGGCATTTTCATTGTTCATTAACCTTGTAGAACCTCTGATTGAATGTTAAATTTAAGCAGAATTCGCCTGTTTAAAATAAACTGATAAAAATAAGTGCATCATGGGAGCTCAAAAAGCGCAAGGCGAAATTAAAATAAATTAGTAAAATAAGAAAGCAAATACAAGAATAATGGCTACCTATTTAGTTGAGCAAGCAAATTTTTAAATTCGTTGTCCGTTGGTGTTTTGCATATACCAAACACACGCGCAAAAGTACATGAACATGAAGTATGAAGGATGCTATGAAATAAATTCTTAAGAGACGGTAAAAAGAACTCAAGGAGTCAATTTAAAAAGGATCATTATGATGTATCTAATGCGCTTGGTTAATGCAATATTTGGAATTTTTCTTTTAAATTAATTATACGTACACAACAACATCTATCATCCAATTTTGCTTTGATCTACAAATCATAAAATGTTGCAAAGAAACTATTGTTCAAATTACAAGAAATATCGATGAATGTTGTTGGAGGTAAATATTTATCTCTATATATACATACATGTATGTAAATTAAAATATAGTGCTTCTCAATTAAAGTTCAATTTTAATCTACAGTTCAAACCTTGATCAAATATACATTCCTTTTAATAGCGGTTGAGTTTAGATTAAGTTTGGCTATGGAAAGTTTTGTGAAAAGCTGCATACGCCCTAGTGTACATACATATATACATAAATGCAACAATTGTGTCGCGAAAATGTATCTGGTAGATGTCATCGGTTCATTATTTATTGCACAATATCATAGTTGATGCTGTGTAGACGCCGACAGTAATTACTTTTACTAAATGGTTTTCAAGATATGCATTTATCTCATCTGATGTATTTATGCATGTATGTAATACATACTATTTATGCTTCAGGGCAATCCACACGTGTTCATGATTGCTCTATGGCTATGCCAAAAGCAGTTAAATAATGATAGCGATTAACTCTAATTTGTTGTTGGTCTTAATAAAGAAATACCATGCACATTTATGACTTGTCCATGGATGTAACAGAAAGTGGCATGATTTATTTCCATTTTTTTTGTTTTTTGTAAATGTTATGCATAAAAAATAATACAAACTAATAATCCCCAAACTATGATAATAGTTTGTCGAAATGTTGAATCATCAAAATTTAAACATTAAATTAAAATTAAATCATTAACAAACTAGTCAATTCTTTAATAGCCTTTCATCATAAACTCAACTGATTTCGTACTTTGTTTACACTTGCAAAAATGGAGTCAAAGATTCAATTTTAATCTTCTTTTTAAAAATTTGTATCAAAATTTTCTATCCATTTGAAAAAATGAGAATCAATTAAATTCAATAATTAAATTGACTTTTAAATACTGCTTTCAGAGTATAGAATACAAAAATCCTGCGTAGGATTCAGTCTATAAAAAAACGGCTTATACAATGAGAAACATGATCCACAAACATATTTAAGTTGCCCAACTGAAAGCAAGCTCATAAGACTTTAAAATAGTACTCTCAAAAAGCTTATAAGCTTATTGAAATTTGATATTTAAAACAATTAAGCAGCTGAAATTGGCACAGTGTTCTCTTCAGCCGAGTCGTGTGTTGAGCAAACCCATTCAAAACAAATGTGAATAATTTAAATTAATTAATAAATAATATGTTTATTGTAATAGAATTTGGATTTAAGATTATGTGGCGTTAGGGCGGACTTGCGATCGGCATGCGCCACCTGCAATCGGAACGGGCGTCCATTGAAATAGTAATCCTTGTGATGCTGGACGCGCAGCAATTTATTTTGCGCCGGCTGAGCAGTCGATGGCGTCGCTGTCGTTGGCTGGCTGAGGCGATGCTTAACAGTTGTCGGCCTGGGTGCTGGTGTCGTCGAACTGGTTGTCTCCGGCATGATGGGCCTGATTTTCATCGGCTGGTAGTCGTAGCCGAAGCCGGGTATATAGCGATACGGCAGCGGTGGTATGGGTATAAAATAGATTTTCGAATCCTTTTTGGTTTTCTTGATTTTGCCGCCGCTCTTGTTGTATTTGCGCAAATTCAGCGGCTTCGACGTGACCAAGTAGTCCATGTAAACATTGTCCAGGGATGGAGATTGCATCAGCAGTTGATTGTTCTGATTCGGTGGCTTGACACTGCCGGCCACAATCGGGCTGCTGCCGCTCGGCAAGCGCATGCTGTAGGAGTAGGCGGTGCCCAGTTGTGGTGTGGCCAGGGCAAGCAGCGCTAGCAGCACTCCCACGGCGTGCGACAGTGAAGGCATGCTACACAGAGAAAAGGGGAAATAAATATATATATGAATGAATGAATGTATATATGTCAAGGTAAGTTTGTAAAAGTGTCCACAATTTGCTGATTTGGCGCCCACACCCAATGCGATTGTTCCAGATTTGATTGATGGACTTAATGGCTACCGGCGAATTAATAATAACCAAAACTCGAGCATTACACTTACAAATCAATGGTAATGGCAAGCATTTGCTTTTCGTTTTGTTTTTGTTTTTGTTTTTTTTTCTTCAATATTTTTTGCAAGTCACAAATGCCGAATAATTCAATAAGAAATAAATAAATCGGTTTGTGCGCCTCAGAGCGTGAACTATATTTTTTTATAATTTTTTGCAGCAAATGTTTGCCACTTTATTGTAAAGTTTCTCACGTTCCAGACGCAAACAAAACGAGAAGAAAAATAATTGTTTTCAAGACTCTCGATTTGATTTACTTAAACGAAAGCATTTAATGCACGCTAATCAAAACGCCGACGCTGACGTGGCGTAGACGTCGCCGTCGCCATTGCCGTCGCTGTCGCTGTCGCTGTCGACACCAACTGTGTTGCCAGCTGAGCAATTACGCTAATGAGCGTGGCGAGCGCCATCTGGCGGCGCATTTCAACGCCTGAGTGATTAATGAGCAAGAAAAAAAATTGATCAACAAAAACAAAAGAGAAAAAAAAACAGAGGCAATGGTAGCCTAAACGGCATCAATTTAGAATCGAGACAACAGCGATAACGTTAACAAGTTTGGGGCAGGGTGGGGGGCGTAACGTCTGGGTGCGCCTCCGCCTGCCTGATTATGCAAATTAAAGACACATATCATAAATAAAGGCGGCTTGGCATTATCTATTTTAGATTTGTCCAATGCCTTCGATTCTAACGAATTTCCCCGCTGGCAATTCTGTGACTTGGCGTGTGGCGCCCTCAATTGACCTTGTTGCCAAGAAAATGATGAGATGAAAATAAATAACAAACAGTTGGAAATTGATAAATTGCAGAAAGTTCGCCATTAAGAAGCTGGCAAACATGGACTGCTGCAGTTACCTGTGCCAACTGTGTACGATCGACCCGCATGAAATATGATCAGGGAGGGCCGAAAAAAAACCAAGCGATTTTGTTTTTTATCTTGCCAAGTTGTGGGAGTGTTCACCATTCTATCTATGTAATTTGATATGAAAAATTATTGAGCAATGCCACAGATGATAATCATTATAAATGTGTTTGGCAGTGAAAGAGAGAAGATAACTTAAGTCCAATCAAAAGCGAAGTTTAAACTAAAACATACAGCTTAAGTTGACGAATAAAAATATTTGCAAAGAAAAAGAAAAAAACATTAAGAAAGGTTTTTAATGACATATCAACTTGACATTTTAAATGAACTTTTTTGCTATAGTTTTTTCCTTTTCACTGTTTTTTTTTATTATCATATTTTGGCCCGCCAAGGTCGTCTTTGTGTGCTGCCTATCGTTTGTTGAGCCCGACTAATTAAGAAGTCACAATAATTAATCGCTTGCAATTAGTGAAAAGTGCTTTCAAATCGAAAGACTTAAGCAAAAAACTTGTTAGCAGCATGCGCACTTAAAATTTTTTCTTACATATTTCTAGCTGTTGTGAATTGTAAAAATAAGTGTCAACTTATGCAAATTGATTGATCATTTTATGGCCAATTTGGGTAAACTGCACTCACTTTAAAAGGCTGTCGTTGCAGCTGCAGATGTTGACGTTGATTTGTATTTAAAAGCGCTTAAGTTTTGAACACATGTACACTCCAAAATGGTATTGAAATTATTAGTTAATTATGCGACTTTTTGCATTTGCATTTGCATTTGAAAACTTGAATTATGATCACGATTTTCTAGTAGTACTCCTGACACTACAGTTTTCCCGACGCACCGGTAGCAGCCTCAACACAAATCTACAAATCTTCAACGTTGCGAGGCGCGCAGCGTTTCTTGTCTGACGTTGTGGACGCCTCGAAGAGCAGCAAATAAATGAGATCTGCGGACTATGTGTAATTTGTTTTTTTTTTTTTTTCTGCTTCTTAAAGCCAAAATCACCTAGCTTGGCTTGCCCGTCGCTGCCTCAGTCGACGTCTACGACGTCGTCGTCGTCGTCGTGGTTGTCGTCGTCGTCGTCGTCGTTATCGCCGTCGTAGTGCTACGTCATCAAGTTGAACTTGGTCGAATGACGGTTGGCTGTAAAACAGAGTGAGCGGCATTCAGTTGGCCGGTCTCAACTCGTATCGATGTGTGTGAGGTCCGACATAGCCTAACCGACAATGATCTTGATGATGAGCCAAACACGAACGAGGCGAGCGAAGTGCATCAATTTGCCACTTTATTGTTTGCCCGCTTACTGTTTCAGTTGCCATTGCACTTTGTGGCTTTTGCTTGACAAATTCAGCAGATACACTTTGCAACTGGCTGGGCTGCATTGAGAGTGTGGGGAGTTTGGGAAAGTGCCTGGAGTGTTGTGGAAACTTTATATCATCATCTGCTGTGTGTTTTTTGATTAAATTACGTTCGGTTGCAAGTGCCACCGTTCTCTGCCTCTTTTGTCTTTCCGATTTGTGCACAAATTAGTTACAAATGAACCTACGACAACAAAAGGCCGCTGGGCCAACATAATGACAATCAGGTTGTTATTGACAAACCATCGCATGCCACACAGCGGCAACTAAATCTGCACGCTGGCCTTAACTGGCCAACACTCGATGTGCGTGTGTCGCTTTAAGGGCTCTCATTTTCTTTTCTTACACCCTGAACCCTTTGGAAATGGTTAAAAAGGGTGTAGTGCAGAAGTAAGCATCTGCAATTCCAAAAAAGAATATATATTATTGATCAGCAGTGAGTCGATTTATAACTAGCAAGTTTATTTAATTTTACTGACAAGTGAACCGCTTCGCAAATATCGATACAAATCGATTTTCGATAGAAATATCCCCATTTTATCCGTCAAGGTAGCCTCTCTCTTCTGTGCAGCGCAAATAATTAAGTTAAGGAACTAATATATATATTGAGATTCTTTATAACGATTTTCGATAATAGTTAATTTTACAGTTTACAGATAAAGCTTTTCAAGCTGATATTAGAGTATGCCGAGGTCGCTTCCACCCGACTGCAACGCTTAACACGGTATCTCCTAGTCGAGCTTTCTCGACTAGCGATTCGCACTCATTTTTGTTTTTTGCGTATTCTGATTGAGCTCTTTTAAATGGCATTGCGTGATGCGTTGACGTTTGGTGTCTGTGTTTTGGCCGGGTTAGTGGCCCTCTTTGTTGACCTTTTGTCTGAGCGAAAATCGACTTTCAAGTTTTGACCCAGTCTGCTTGACATTCCGTCATTCTGTGGGATAAAGTTGTATATTATTAGCCAAATTGATAGCTGAATTCCATTTCTTTAGCTGTTTTTTATAGCCCTTAATTAAAGTAACTTAATAAAAATGTGCTTAAAGTGCTTTCTTAACACATTTTTGTTGTCATTATATAATCGCCTTATTTGACATGCACCCCATCAACTAAGCACTTTCCCATCTTTCACCAATTAACGCAACACAATTGACCAACATTTTTCTAGTTAACATGAGTGTTGTCTCTGAATACCCATCTTAATTTAAATGTACTCATTTGCCGGAGATATGTACATGTAAATGACATACATAAATAACAGGCCCTTCGCCCCTCCCTCTCCAACCCCATCTACACTCCAAGCGAGGCCAATTGGTTGACAATTAAAACACCTTTAAATATTAATTAGGCGTGCCGTCAACATCAGTTTCCCCTTTTCGTGCAATTACTTTCAACCAATGTACACACAAAAGTGTGTGTTGAAGCGCGTAAACTCAAGTAGCAGAAGCTGATGCTGAAGCTGATGCTGATGCTGATGTTGAAGCTGAGACTGATTTGTTTCAGCTTGGTTGGCCTAATCAAGCTAACTGCACGCATGCATAATGTAGGCACAAAGAAAATCTGGTTGTGTTGGAGCTGGCATAATTGTTAACGATTAGACAACACAAAACACAAAACACGAACGGGCTGTAAGCTCCCTTCTCCCTTCCCGTTCCCGTTCCCGTTTCTGCATCGGTGCTGGAGCAGTCTCCGTGCGAGCTAAGCTGGGAACTATTATGAGCTATAGTAGATGTAGACAGTTTAATGCTGACGGAAGCAATATAGAAGATAGAATAGGCAGAAGCACGAGACAATGCCAATGGAAATGGCAATGTCAATGGCCAACAACAACAACAACAACAACTTGAGATAACTAATCAAGAAGACGCATCGCGTCGCCTATCTAATTCGTAGCAGCCACGAATTTTAGTTTTTTTATATCATGAAAATGACTAAAAAGAGTATCAAATGTAATACAAATGTAGTTAACAGGCAGAATAAAGCATCTCTGACCGTATAAGGCAGATCATGTTTACCGATAACTATTCGATTTCTGATGGCAATAAAAGTCATAATCTGAATGGTAGAGGCTTCTAATTAATATATAATATATATATTATAGATCAGCTTCAGATCAAATTCCAAAACCTATTCTTTTAGTGCATCTTATTGCATATGAACAAAGAAATGCGTTGCCTTTTTTTTTATTTATATTTAAGTTTGTAAAACTTTTGAGCTTTCGTTCAGGGTACATTTTAGTCGGGCTAACTCGACTACAACATTCTTATTTGTATCTTATTTGCAATACTACATAAATGACAGAAATGCTTAATGATTGCGTGTTTCATGACAACTGATTTTTGCACGGGCAGTCTGCATGCAGGCAGCAGGCAAGCCAGTTAGATGTTTTCATTATTACCGAATTACCGTTGATCATGGTCGGGAACACCCACAGTTTCAGCTAAAGTTAGCGCCAACACACACTACGTCATTGTTAAGCCGTCGGCCATCTAGATATGATATACATATACATATGCATGGTCATAAATATGTGCTGGCTAATTATGTGTAGTAGTTTCACATTTTATTGTCGTTCAATTCGCAGGTTCATTAAACTCGTTTTGACGGCAAGCGATTAGGCTTTAATCGGACTAACTGGCCTTTTGTCTTTGGTGTTTTTTTTTGTTTTTTCAGCTTGTTTCATCTTGATTTTTGAGGCGTCTCGGCATGTGGACTTCGCCATTTAATTGAACCACCCGACTTTCGCGCTATGCACTCGAAATGAAGTTGTCATCGCTTTGCGCCGGCTTATGCAATGCCAACAATCTCGATCCGTCTTTTTTTGTTTGGCATTTTCTGAGTAATACACCCGGATTGGGGTCAGCGATGGACGCCAATTACACGACTCTGACTTTCATTGAAAGTTAAATATTTGTGGAGCAGACGAAAGGAAATGCAACGAAAGGAAAAGATCTGATCAGTTTAATCTGCTGTTGGAACAGCATCAGCAGACGTGAAGATGTTTTAGGCCACAAATTCAATATTTGCCCATCGCATTTGTCGATAATCTGACAAACTTGTTAAACTAACTTATAATGGGTATGCTAAAAGAAAACTGAAGGATTGCTGTCCTTGAAGTGATCTATAAAAAGAATCAGATGAAAGACTATACAGCACTATAATTTCCAACTAAATTTAAAGAAATTTACTGAAATAAGAAAAGATAAATGCTTGATCTGAATATATAAGAATACACCAACAGCTGCATAAAAGATTACTTAAAGAGCTGAAAAACGTTCGAGGAATATGCACATGAAGCGATTTATAGAGGGTATTTTAAAGTCCAACATCCAGTAGCCACTTATACATATATTTATATTTTATTACACTTTGTTGCATTTTTTTTGTTGTTTTTTTTTGTGAAAGTGGCAAGTGACCACAAGTAAAAAGGTTAAACTGGGCGCCGAAGCGTGCCCTGCACTGAATTGGCTGTCTACACAGATCGACTGCGAATCTGGGCTGCTGTGCAGCGACTTAAGTGGAATCTGTAAGTCGGACAAGTGGTGATTCAAATCAAACAATAATTCGAACGCATCTGGTAAAGAGAAACATTATCAGAGAATATGAATTTGATTAAAAAATTTATAAAAGCATAGACCTAAAATGGATTTCTCTTGCACGTATGCGGTAGTCGCGTTCACAGCTCCCACACCAGATGCGATTAACAAGTTGCGCACTATATATCTCATTTACTTTATATGCCGCACTATAAAAAGAAAACTTTCCAATTTCCTGACAATTGGAGCAAACGATTGATAGTAAATTTTTATGATCGCTACTGATTTATAGTTACAGGAATTTTCCACACGTCGTCGACGGAAAATGGAGCTACAACAATTCTTGGATTTTTACGAATTAGAAGACGATATATATATATATATATATATATATATATACTTTTTTAATTGCAAATAAAAAAAGATTGTATTTCCTATATGTATATTTATATTGTTGCACTCACAATTGGAGTATATAAAGATTCAGTAGTCATCGTCGTAAATAGATGAAGAAGAAATCAGTTGAAATGAAGTTAATTACTGTGGCGATTTTAACTGTTCAAAGCCAGTCATTATTTCAATTGGCATTTTATATCTTTATTGTTTATTGTTACGTTTGGTATTTTTCTTGTTGGCTTAAATTCCACCGCGCCTACAACTCCAAAAATTCATCTCAATTATTGTGGATTCCAGCTTGTCCGGCGCTTCGGCGACCTTGACGCATAGTCAGCATCTTGGCGACCATTTCACGGTCAATGA